GTTCCGGGCAACGTACTACTCGATATGACGCGTGTATTAGAATTCCTTAAAGGCGATCCCCGCGAGGATTGCCAAAGCATCCGGCAACTGCTTCAAAATCAACTCGTCGACGCGCACAACTTCCTCGTCGTGGACAAGCTGCGCTCCTGGCTCCAGAGTCTCTTTAGCCAAGCGCTTAATCGGATCGCGGATCGCGTGGAGGTGGATGGCATCGTGTCCCAGCTGAAATATAGGACCTGTGGGCCGGCCCACACCATCGTCGTGGATGGAGAGCTGGAGTACTCGGTCGATTTCGTACCCGCCATCCGCCTGGGGGCCGAACAGAACGTATTGGGCGAGGATCAGTTGACGTATTTTGAACGCGCGAACCTATCTTACTGGGAGGCGATCCCAAAGCCCCTAAAAATCCAAACTAAGACCAGCAGCATCTCGTTTAGATCCTCTTTTTATGCGGCCGAAAAGGCGATGCTTCCCGATAACTGCCGGGATGCAATTAAGCTTATGAAGAAATTTCGCGATGTCAAGACCAACTTAAGTAACCTTAAGAGCTACTTCATTAAAACTTTGTTTCTTTGGAAGATTAGGAAAGAACCGGAGTCCTACTGGCAGAAGCCGCTCACAGTCATTTTGCCTGATGTAAGCAACAAGGGCCATAAAGGGGGACCAGGGTTTAAATCTTATTTATTCGTCAATGTAATTGCTCCTAAATTAAGCCACAACATCTCAAGAATCATAAGTCTAAATTTAAAGTAAATTTTGAGCAAAATAAACGTCAAAACTATGGCTAATATATTTTTAATTTAACAACAACAAAAGCACTAATTTTAATTATTATTAAAATTTTTTTTCTTCAAAGGTTCCCAAAAATATATATATGTATATAATTTTTTTTTAACTTCGGATGATCCATCACCGGCTTATAAAAGGCTCCGCAACTTAAATTTTTTCAGAGAGCCTTAACAATTAAAAAAGTTGGCCTTTTTTAACATATATAAACCCAACTCCCTCTTAAGTTAATTGAACTAGAGTCATAATAAACTCAACCCTAAAATCTTAATAGATGTTTGAAGAGCTGACGAAGTGCTTACGGCAGGGAAAACTTCCTTTCTTCTGGGACCCTGAACTGAATATGATCGATGTTTTGACGCCAGAACAAGTGATGGATATGTACCTATGCGTTAGAAGAATTCCAGGCGCGCTGAGGAGGGCCGCCCGAGAAAAGAGTTTCTCTCGATTGTTTGTTCTTCGGACTTTTAGTAAGTAATTGAGTCATAAGTTTGAGCCAAATGCCTTAAATTCTTGTTGTTTTCTTAGGCAGCAAGGAAGAAAGAGATCTGCATCTGGGATGCAGTTTAAAGCGAAGTGGCCAACCAAATCACTTTGTCATCAAGAGGATCAAATAGGAAAACTACCTTAATGAGGTGCAGTGGAAGCCTGAAGAAAAGAATCCCGGGAAAGAGCTGCCTCAAGCTTAACTCAAGTTTGGCCAAAATCGTCGATGCCCCTTAAAGGACCGGAGTCATGAATGTCTAAGGGGTCGTCCGTATATTACTATATCAAAAAATTGGTAATTTTGTGGGTCAAATTAATTTGGTTTGCCCAACACATTTTTAAAATGTTTTAATATATGGGCAGCCCCTATATGAAACTAAATTTGCAAAATGCAATGCACTCATTTAACAAAGCATATAAAATTGGCAAGTCATTGTGAAATTGTTAATAATTTGTGAGAGCTTTATTGGAAATATCCGATTGGGTCAAATATGGCACATTCACATCGTAAAATTGTTTGTTATCATTATTGAAAAAATTGTCAGAAACTAAATTATTGTTATATGAATTTTAAACTATTGGGAATGAAACATTTTCCAATAAGTTGAGTATTAAATTAACACCACGAAAGTATCAATATAAAACTTATGTGGCTTAAAAGGGGTTATATTATTATTATTATTGCTACACCCAAAAGAAAACGAAAATATAGTTTTAATTAGTGTGTTTGAAATATCATATGTATGTGTTTAAATTTTGTATACGAAAGTGGGAACAATATTTAAAACTATTTATTTATTCAAAATATAACAAGAATACAAAAATCCCCATGTGTGTACTTAAAATTTTAAATAGATTATAAAACAAATGATTGTTATTTAATGAAGTAAAAAAATAATGTCGAAACTTATGTTTGTGTCGTTATTGAAAAAAATAAATTTTAATCAACAAAACATTACAGAAATAAAATAAAATAGGCACTGATAAACATTATTTGTTTTCTTGTAAGCTAAGAAAAGCTCACTCAGGAAGGGAAAATTTAAAGAACTGAAGAAGAACTTAATTATTTTGTTGTTAAGGCGCGTCACAACATGTTTATTTCTAATAAAATAAGCTACCGATGAACATAATTGACCCGACGGGAATCTTCAACCACTTAAAGAGTAAGGAGCTGCTTACATTTCTGGTCTCTCCTAAAATTGTAAAGATAAATTAACTATATATAAAATTAGTTTGTTTAAAACTATGCGTCATTACTTCCTGGCCAAAGCCATAAAACCTTAATTAATGACAGTATTGCCGTTTTTAGCTGACTTATCTGTAACCAAATTACCTGCGCAATATAACCATAAAAATAAATCTTATCTGCAAAACAACCAGAAAGCCAAAAAAAAAAACCCTTGCAGTATATTTGTTTAACGATGGAGTGATGAAGTAACGAAACCGTCAATAAAATAAATCTTAAATGTAGTGAAGTCAGCATATCTCAAACGGGACGCCCGATAAAGTCAATTGACCATTGTAATGACCGATTGAAATAAATCTAATATGCCTGCAATACATTTTTGAAAATAAAATTACAAAAAAGTTGTCAATATTATTAATTTTTTTTCCAAATATTGTTAAAGAACATTTTTTAAATAGAAAATACCTCACAAAGAAGTAGTTTTGAACTGAAAATTAATGTAGAACAATTTAGGGTGACCCGTTAGAATATTTCTGATTCAGTGTCGCAAGCCTTTAAGTGAATACCCTTATGTATTCATCGTTAGTCGTGCGTGACACACAATCACTCGTGAGAAGGGAAGCGTGCGTGAGCGAGGGAAAAGACTCACGCGCGCATCTCCAATACAAAACAAAAGACCATGTCGCTGGGCAAGAAGCACGTGTTGGGGTTTTCGCCCAATGGTGGCCATCTATTTGCCTCGGTTGACGAGCAGGGCATCCTGCGGATATGGGACACGGAGACGAATACGCTGAAGCAGGAGTTTACGCCCAATCTCCAAGTATCCGGACCGTGCACAGCGCTCACGTGGCTTTCGGTGGCCAGTCCACGGCCCAAGAAGTCGCGAAAGAGCCTGCCGGCGCAGGATGCAGCCAGCGAACAGCTTCACATTGCTCTGGGCACGCTGAAGGGGTCAGTGGTCATATATTCTCTGTCCGAGGGAAAGGTGAGTTCCAACTATGGCCTCGAAAACGAAGACAGCCCAATGAATCGTTATCAATCCTTGCAGATTGTACGGACGCTCAGTGGGGACAGCCATGATGGGGCAATCACCTCGATTGTCGACGACAACGCTGGTCACCTTTACACCGTGGGCGCCGATTGCCGGGCGGTGGTTTGGTCCTTGTCGGAGGAGCGCTCCATCGCCGAATGGCAGGTGGGGCCGGAAAAGCCCCAGAACATAGCCTACCTGCAGAAGAGCCGCACCCTGGCCGTGGGTTCCCGCCAGCTGAAGGTGTACGACGTCAAGACCAAGGAACTGGTGGAAACCTTCACCGGCCACTCGGGCGAGATAAACACCATCAGCAGCGTGAGCGGCCCAGATGGCACCGAATTCGTGCTGACCACCGCCAAGATGGAGCGCGTCATCTGCTTCTGGAAGGTCGACAAGAAGGGCAAAAACAAGCCATCCGCCTGCACGCTGCTCATGGAGGATTTGGCCTACTGTCTGACCAGTGAAGTGCGCGACGACGGACAGCTGCGAGTGGCCAGTGTTACCCGCAATGGCAATATACACATTTACCTGCTGAACGTTAACAGGTAAGGGTAGTATTTATAAAGCTTTACTAGTTTAACAAGCAATAACTTTGACAGTTTATCCGCCGAGAAGTTCGTAAAGCCCAAGGTGTCGCTGCAAATTGTGTCCGATGGCGCTGAGACCGTGGAGCCCATATTTGCTGTGGCGGCTCACTTTGTGACGGACTCAAATCGATCGCACGAAATCCTCTTTGGCTATGGCAATCGACAGCAGCTGCAGTTCGAACGTTTCACCCCCAACTATGGCGAGAAACTGAACGTAATCGTCCGCGCCGATCCAAAGAAGCTGTACGCAAAGAAGAAGGGCAAGGAGCAGCTGGGTTTTCAGGCGGCGACCAAAGTTCAGAAGCCCATAGTGAACCAAAAGTCCGTGGAGTACAACAGCGCCCTGCCCATCTTCCAGAAGAAGGTGCAGAACGATGTGCCCATGGAGGCTCGCCTGCAGCACCTAAAGATCCATGGTACCAAACTGAGCGGCGGCAAGTTGCTCACGCAGAGCAAAACTCAACTGCTTATGCAGGCACTACACAGCAAGGATCAGACGTAAGGGTTCTACCCTTAACAACAGCCAAAGATGGTTAATAAAACGTTTATGTTTATAGGATGATTCAAGCGGTGCTAAGCACGCAGGATACAGAGACGATACAGCTGACATTGGATCGACTGCCCCTCGAATACGTCAGTCCGCTGGTTCACGAACTTTCCATCCTGCTGCAAGGAAAGCACGCCAAGTGAGTGTCCTTTGAAAAAGCTAGAGGTAACACTTGTATTTACTCGTTCCCCCTTTATTTTTCAGTGTCAGCTCAGCCCTGCGCTGGCTGCGCGTGCTGGCCTCCACCCACACGAGTGTCCTGATGTCCGAGGACAAGGAGGCGTTGCGCGAGAAACTGGGCGTTTGTCTGGGCGTGGCGGAGCAGCGCATGCACTGTCTGTCGGAAGCATTACAGTGAGTACACTTGGTGGGACATTGAAAGACGAAACAGGGCTTTAATGGTGAATGATTAAGCAATCAATTACTGGGCTTCTTGGCATTTTTCGACTTGACATTGTGCTTGGGCTTGTCGACGGTGCCGTGACGGCTCTCACAGATTGCAGCGAAGAAGGTCAGCTTGGTGTGCAAAATGGTGTCGATGTAGAAGCGTTGGAAGATAAACGAGTTGAGGCAGCGTTCGCCCAAGCCGTAGTAGAGTGTATTGTAGCCCTCAAAGCGGTAGGTGATCATCACCGGATAGTGGGCCAGCAGCAGCTTGGACACGGTGATGATGAATCGCACCTTGGCAACGGCCAGCGGATTGGGACACCGGGCCGTCGGCCGGGAGAAGTGGGCATCCACAAAGAGAATGGTTCCCTTGATGGGCACCTCGTGCCGAATCGGATTGCTGATCACCACACACTTGGTGTCGGGCGACAGCTCCCAGTGGCTGATGAAATCCCTTATGTCGGCAATGGCATTCGAGTACTCGAAGTCCCCGATGGTCAGCGGCTTGCGCGCCAGGCCACTGGACACCGAGTCCGCCGAAGCGCCGAGCATACCCGTGTAATTCGTTGGATTCTTAATCGAGTCGTCCTCCTCTCCGTTGGCCACCACAATGTCGGTTAGGGCTGAGGACACCAAGCTGACGGACGACATTTTCTGTCGTTTCGGGAATTTGTAGACGAATAGACCGCGCGGATCGGACTTGATGATGGTCTGCGCTTCGCAGATTGTGGCATTGACCAGATCAACGATGCACTGTAGGTCCGCATCATCGCAGATCGGCTTGCTGCACTCGTTGATAAAACTGGAAATGCTGGGTACATCGGCTATGGGCAGGGCACTGCCGGCTCCGATTCCCGGAACGCCTATCTCTTGTGTCGATGTTTGGTTTAAATGCAAGCTATTGGAGGGATCATCGGCGCACAAAAGGTCCATTTTATAACAACGAATTTCAGCAGGGATTTTTCTTAGTCTCTGTTATATGTTTATGTTTTCAGATATGTTTGTGTTTATTTATGAAGTCAACTTTTCAATGCCTTCTTTTTAGAATTACGGGGCGAGTGAACCTGATAATCAGCCAGATGAAGCGCAATGCGGACAACCACCTGAACGATAGCAACGCCTTAATTCTGGACGAGGACCCAGGTGAGATTCCAATGGGAAACGGTGCAAGATCCATAGAATCAAATCATTTGCTTGCAGATGAGCCAACCGAAGCCCTCGAAGACAGCCTGTTGGCTGAAAATAACTGGAGCGACCTGGAGGATCAGCAGGGCAGCGAAAAAGGTATTTCGGACGATGATGAACTGGTGGCAGACGACGACCTGGCGACCGACGATGTTAACGCAGACACAGACTCTGATGAATCCATGGATTAGAATGCCCCTCCTTACATTAAGTTAATATGCAATTCCTTGGTTTGTCGTGCCGCAAGAAATTAAACAACTATTGTTTTCTAAACACAGTTTTCTACACCGATTTCATCAATTTTTATTGTGGTTTTGAACTACGTGCAACAACGAATAGGGTGAGCCAATTATTGTTGGTCTAATTCCGACATGAGATTTTATCATCGATACGCAAGCAAACAAACATTTCCAATTTATAAATACAGTTGAATAATGTGCCAATAACAGAGGTTTGTAGCTCGAGTAATACATAAGCAGCGGCTACTCAATAACGGCTCAGAAACTACTAACAATTAGAGCGTTTGTGTAAACATTTTAATTTGCAACAACAAACAGCCGCACACGATTACTTCCAATTGGCTTTGATGAAGTTAATTAAACCGTTCGTAGAACTGTCGTGCGTGGAGACCTCGTTGCAGTGGTCCAGCTCCGGCTCAATGGCCTTGGCCAGCTGCTTGCCCAGCTCGACGCCCCACTGGTCGAACGAGTTGATGTCCCAAATGATGCCCTGTACGAAGATCTTATGCTCGTAGAGCGCTGCAAAAGCAATTGAAATTAATATGTGCTCGTGGAACTCGTGGATCAATAAGACGTACCAATCAACGCGCCCAGGGTGAAAGGTGAGACCTTCTTCACCACAATCGAGTTTGTGGGCCGGTTGCCAACGAAGACCTTGTGGGGCAGCAAGTTATCCAGCTCGTTGCCGCACAGTCCAGCCTTGGAGAGCTCGGCCCGAGCCTCGTCAACCGTCTTTCCGGCCATTAGTGCCTCCGTTTGGGCAAGGAAGTTCGACAGCAGGATCTTGTGGTGCTTGCCGCCGGCAATGGGATTGTGCGTCTGGGCGGGGGCGATAAAATCGCAGGGGATTAGGCGGGTGCCCTGGTGGATGAGCTGGTAGAAGGCATGCTGGCCATTGGTGCCCGGCTCGCCCCACACAATCGGACCGGTGCTGTACTGGACCGCCTTGCCCGCTTTGCTCACAAACTTGCCGTTGCTCTCCATGTCGCCTTGCTGGAAATAGGCAGCGAACCGGTGCAGGTACTGATCGTAGGGCAGAAGGGCGTGCGTTTCCGCCTTGAAGAAGTTGGAGTACCAAACGCCGAGCAAGGCCAGGACAACGGGAGCCTAACAAACATTTGAAATTGTTAACTTTAAGCTTGTCACTTGAGCCTTAAATCTTACATTTTTCTCGAATGGCGTCGATCGGAAATGATTATCCATGTAGTGAGCGCCATCCAGAAGCTGCTCAAAGTTCTCGAATCCAATGGACAGGCAAATGGACAGTCCAATGGCCGACCACAGGGAGTAACGTCCACCAACCCAGTCCCAAAAGCCAAACATGTTGGCGCTGTCAATGCCGAACTCGGTAACCTTTTCCTTGTTGGTCGAAAGGGCAACAAAATGCTTGGCCACGGATTCAGGCTGAAAAGATAAATCCGGATTTAAGTGTAGATTTTATGTTATATAACGTTTACCTATTAAAATCATCAAGATTAAATTGTACTTATCCAAAGCGAAATGATATAAAACATTTTTTACTCAATACAGCTACAACTTATAATATTAAGTATAAAATAATAATTTGAAATACATAATAGTAGAAATGTTAAATAAATATTTGAAACTTTGTTGTGTAAACCATGAACAGATTTGTAGGCTAAAATGCTATCATTGAAATAAGGTTTAAAGAATAATAAAATTACAAATATTTTGTTAACAAATTTCAACTAAAAAAAAATACATTTGTAACCTATTAAATTGAATAATTGTGGGATTTGTTGATTAAGTGCCTGACTCTTACCTCCTTGGAATGCTCCAGAAGCCATGTCTTGGCGGAGGTGGCGTTCGTGATGGTCTCCTGGGTGGTGAAGGTCTTCGAGGCGACAATGAAGAGGGTCGTCTCGTAGTTGACCTTCTTGAGCACCTCAGCCAGGTGGGTGCCGTCGATGTTGGAGACAAAGTGCGAGTGCAACCCCTTGCCATACGGCTTCAGTGCCTCGGTGACCATCAGTGGGCCCAGGTCGGAGCCACCAATGCCGATGTTGACCACATCGGTGATCTGTTTGCCGGTGCTGCCGCGCCAAACACCCGAGATGACCTTGTTGGTGAACTCCTTCATGTGGGTCAATTCCGCCCGGACATCGGGCATCACATCCTTGTCGTCCACCAGGACTGGATCCGTGCCGCGGTTGCGCAGTGCCGTGTGCAGGACGGCGCGGTTCTCCGTGATGTTGATGTGCTGGCCGGAGAACATGGCGTCCCGGGCGGCGTCCACGCGGCGCACCTTGGCCAAAGCGAGGAGCAGGTCCCACACCTCGTCGTTGATGCGATTCTTCGAGTAGTCCAGCAGTATCTCCCCATCGTTCTGGGTGTGCAGGCGAAGGCTGATAAACAAACGAAAATCATTTGACCTCAGAACAAGTACGAGACGGAGGTCGTTGCTGTGACCTTACGCAAGGACAAATCGAGCGGCGACGACGACGTCGACACTCGAGAGCCGATGGCGTTGGTGAAAGTGAGAGTGGGCGAAAAACCCAATGAATAAACGATGAAGCGATGGGAGATACACAAACGACTGTATGTATGTGGGCGCTACATACGTAACTTTAACCCTCGAGGGCGAAATTCTGTTGGTTGGTAAACCCACCTGTATTTGGAGAACCTCTTGGGGTCCTTCACGAACAGGTCCTTAATGTTCAGGTCCTTGCCTTTGGTATCGTAGTATGCCTGCAGCTTCTGGAAGGCTTCCTCCTGGTTGAGTGGAGGTAGTGCACCGGCCATTTTACTTTAGTTTTCCAGAGGACGGAAAGGGGGCGAAGTAGATGCGGAGTAGAAGGTGGTGGGGAAGGACTCGTTAGAAGCTCGAGGAGAAGCGTAAAGCGAACGGAAAAGAGAGCGCAGGTGAACTGTTTCAGACACTCGCGACACTTTACTTATAACCGCAAGCCCGGCTGATAATTCTTCGGTTCGTTTGGTTTATCTGGCTCCGACAAATCTCCAGAGCACTGCGCCACAACTTCGCCGTGTTTGCTATTGATAGGTACTGAGCGGACCCTCCGATTTTCCAACGTCCTTTCTGGAATTCGATTCGCGAGTACCTCAATGTCAAATGAAAAACAAGCGAGTGTTGCCACGTCGGCCGCGCTCTTGTTTTGACGCGCCGGTCGACTCGGAGCGACTGAAAATTTACTGTGTGAACTGGGTTGGTTTGAATTAAGAGCTCGCTGCTCCTAGATGATATCTACAGATCGACAAAAGGACTTAAATTGGAAATTTGGAACAAAAATAACCGCCGCTATGTGCCATATTTTTCCGCCGATGTGGCAAGGTTGTGCAATTAGGGCTGTCAGCTACAAACAACTATCGTATATTTTTTATTGAAATAAAATTTTTTTTTAAATCTATTGTTAAATACTTTTTCACATTTCAATTCAATTCAAAAATATGTATTTATTTATTTATTTCTTTTTTATATAGGTACATTGGCAAAATAAGAAACTTTTTGAACATATGTGGCTCTAAGAATTGGAAGAAATAAAGTCATTTAATGGTTTCCATACTGCTAAGAACATTTTTCCCTACCGTCATGGTTAAGTTAAAGTTTGTTTTAAGCTGAAAAGACGTATAGAAAAAGTATTTTAATTTTTTAATACGTACGAATAAAATAATAGCAGAGACTCAACCCATGGTAAGAAGCTTGGATACACGTTTAGGGCGACAGCGCCAAAGCAATAAACTGTTTGGCAACGCCGCGCGAGTAAGGTTACCAGGTCGCTGAAATTCGCTAAAAGATGGCGACGCGCACTTAATTTTTTGTTTTTTCCAACATAATAAAGTACAAAAAAAGCAAAATAAAAGCATCGTCTATGCACAAATCAGAGACTGTTAAATCGCGAAAATAATAGTCCAAAACAAAAAGCACCGCGGGGCTCCAAAACGAAGCGCGAGTGGAGTGAAACTAATACAAACATTGACATGTCGCTGGCCAGAAGAGAGCAACAAGTGTGTGAAAATCGAATTGTGGTCGTTTAAAATGTTTGGAGGAGCAGTCAGTGCTCCTGGCGGCAGGTAGAGCGCCATTATCCGCTCCAGAGTATCGCATTTTATCAAAGGAACCACAGAATATCGCACCAAGAAGCCAGGCAGAAGCGTCTGCACACGTAACCTTGTGTGCGCGTAGCACGGAAGCTGCTTGTCCGAATCGGGTTTGTAGGTATGTGGCTGCGAACCGCCGCTTAGATTCGCTGCTTACTCGGATATTTCGCTTGGATTTCAGTTGGTCCTGGCCACGGGCCATTCCCAGATTCCCAGGACGTCGGGTACGTCACCGAGGAGGATGGACACCACATCCGCAGCTGGATCTGGAGCCGGAACGGGCGACGTCTGTCCCTGCTCCACGGTAGCCGCCTCCACCGCTTCCAATGAGCAGCCGCAGACCAAGCGCCAGAAGATCGATCAGCAGATCAAGGTGGGCTCCAAGGCCCTGCCGCCTCCGCCGCCGGACATACTGGACCTGGACGCCAACAGCAACAGCCACCTGTGCTCCTCCCTCTCCTCGTCCTCCTCGCGCTCGCTGTCCACGCCCAGCAGTGCCAACAACTCGCCCACCACCACGCCCTGTAGCTCGCGGGCGGCGTCCTACGCCCAATTGCTGCACAACATCTTGCCACAAAATGGGGACACGGAGACACACAGCCAATCGGAGTCCGCCCAGGACGAGGTGGATCGGGTGGCAAAACTGCCCGATCTTCTCACCCTCAGCACGGCCAACAGCAGTAGTAGCCACCTGAGCAGCAGAAACAACTGCATCCCCACGACGGCGGCAACAACCATCGACGATATGCTGGAGTTCGAGCAGTCGTTGACCCGCCAGTGCCTTTGCGGGGTCTCAGAGCGAACGCTACGCAAGCCCTTTCAGTCCCATTACTCACAGGACACCAACGGCCAGAAGCGGATAGCCTATCTGCGCGAGTGGCCCACCAACAAGCTGCTACAGTTCCTGTCCAACCTGCAGCTGCTGTTCGACATCTACCTGAAGCAGAACGCCAAAGGCTTTATATGCACGCGGATAATGGACGTCTGCGACGCACTGATCCGCAACGACCACAAGCTCATCGACGAGATCATCGTTCTGGCCGGCTACGACAACTCGTACGTACAATTCCTGGCGGGTCGTGTGCTCGCCGCATTCCTGGTGATTGCCAAACAGGAGCTGAACGACGAGTGGCTGCAGAAAATCGTCGATCAGCTGTTTAACTTTGAGCAACTCGATCAGGCGGCTGTACAGAAGATCCACTTCAGTCTGGACATCATTAAGCGCATTGTCGAATGGAAGGACATGGAGATCCATCCGCTGGACGACGACTGGATGGGGGCGGCGAATAGCTCAAGCGCTGCCTCAGCGGTTGTTCCTCTGCCGACGGAGGCGTCCGTGAGCTACATGCACTTTCCTGTGCAGGAGCAGCCGCTGGCCACCAACTACTTTGCGTTGCAGTTTCGCGAAGATACGGAGGGTGAGCGGGAGACGGATCGGGAATCGCCAGAAAACCGCGACCGGCACCGGCGGCACTTTGGCGAGGAGATGAACGTCGCCTACGAACCGCATTCCGCTCCCCAGTCCACGACAATGCCCAGCGGATGCCATGTGGTCACGCTCACAGACTCGGAAAGTTTCGACACGACTCACCTGAAGTGCATTACCATTCAAAAGCTGGAGCACAAGTGGCCGACGCTGGTGAAGAACATGTCGGAGCTGATGGCGCCGACGCACCAGGATGCGGCTGAGCACTGCGTGTTAAACTTTCTCCAACTGTGGGAGAACATCATCTCGGTGAAGGCAAATCTGTCCATCGACGAGACGCGGCCCTACTACGCCCAACTGGACAAGTTTGAGCTGCTGCTTAGCCACAGCCTCTCCTGCACCGTGTACAAGCAGATGCTGTGCCTCTTCAACGAGGCATTGTGCTATGGCTCCACGCTGGCGCTGCAGGACATGCTGCCCGAGGAGACGTGCAAGCTGGCGCATCAAATTGTCTGCCACGTAAGGGGCTTCCGCATCCTGGAGTCGTTGCCGCGTCGCCAGCCGGACAACATGGTCAGCCTGATCGGATACAATGGCAGGCCGCTGGTGTACGGCAATGGCACTATTACCCTGGCACATGCGGCGCAATCAGTGGATGGCGGGCAGGATGGCGATAGGGAGAGTGGAGTGGCGCCACTGGACCTCATCGAAATGGACAAGACACTGCTGCAGAAGATGGTCCTCCTGGTACTTAAGTCGATCGCGGTGACAGTGAAAGAGATACGCAGCGATTCCTCCGACTCCTCCATCGATTCCAGCGACTATGATGCCTTCCAGGACATGATGCTCATTGAGCGCTCGATCCGCGATGTTCTGAGCAAGCTGGAGACGTTCATCAAGCAGACGCTCGAGTTCCATCCGGAGTGCCATTTCAGCAAGATCCTGATCCACCTGTTCGACGATCAGGACGACCATCTGATCGAGGCCATGGTCTGCACGCTGGACGTCACTTCGGGCATCTCGTTCCGTAACAACGCCTTTCCCGAGCTGGTGGCCATGCTGAATCCGGTATACACATTCCTGGAGTTCCTCAAGATGACGTCGAACAGCTCGGACCTGCTGCTGGACCTGCTGGTGAGCAACGAGACCTGTTTCCTGCTCTACCTGCTGCGCCTGCTCAAGTACATCCGCATGAACTGGACGATGTTTGTGCACAGCTGTCACACTTTCGGCATGGGCAGCGCCATGCTGGACGAGGCGATGGGCGTCCTAATTCGACTGCGCCTGCAGATATCCCGCCTGGTGTCGCGCCAGCTCTATCCGTATGACATATCGCCGGTGCTGCGCCTGCTGGAGAGCTGCGAGAGTCTCTACGAGGGCAACGAACTGAGCTGAATGCGGCGCAGGCCTGAACTTCCAACCACATGCAATTAAAATACGTAATTTATTTTAAAGTTTAATGGAATAGGAGAAACTAGCGCAAAATTCGATGAAGACGGGAGCCTTGTAGAGTACGTGTATTAGCCGTAGTTACCGCTCCGACCATATCTCCGCACCCCGATCCAATACCGGGATAACCGTAGTTAAGTTCTTGCACCTTTTCATCATCCGCTTCGCAGGCCCTTCAACATAGATACATAACTGTATGTAATTGTCATTGTAATGAGCATCACAAGTTCGTAGTTAGTTCGTAGTTAATGGTAATATCATAGGTACTGAATTCCAAACTAAAAACTACGCTAGCCTAAGATTTTTTTAATCTTGCCTTAAGTAGAATAATGTACAATAGAATGGCTAAATGGCAAACGTTGGCCCGCTGTCCGCGGAAAGTGGGCGTGAATTCGGAGTCTTCGAAGAGAATATTCTTTGTACGTTTTTAAAAACACTTGAATAATATAACTTAATTAACTGATTAAAAGAAACGCATTAAGAACTACAAAGTGTGATATTTAAAGTTATTGTGTTCAAATACTGTAGTCTCTGCAGTTTCTGCAGGTGTGAGCCTGGCTAATTGTCTAACTTTAATGGCGATTGATCATGCGGACGCGACGTTTTGGATCGACAGTTCCACTTGGCATGGCACTGACATCCGGGATCTGACCAGTGAGGCTTATCACCGAGCCGCGTCTTGCCAATTCGGGTGGATATGGACTTGATACGTGAACCGTTTGATAGTTAATGCTGATCGGAACCGAAGAGCGTCGATTTAGGCGGGGCTCTAAAGGAGAAATTAGTGTTTCTTATGGGACGTGGCACAATTAGGTGGACTTTACCCAAACGCATGTCTCCCGAAACTGGTCTAAATGGATGATGTTGACTTGGCCGGCTGACCAGGGGAGATATGACCCTGTGATGGTATTCCTGAACCTTCGGAGCAGACTTTGTAAAGCCTCCTTCCTCGTTCTGCGTGTACTTGTATCGATCCACCGACACGGAGCGTTCGTCGCCGAGAATATGCCGCCGCCGGAAGATCGGGGACTCCTCAACTTTGACATGCATATGGGGAAATGGAGACGGGTCAGTTTCAGGTGAGAGATCGCAGAGATTTGCAGGAAAGCCCATTCAAACAGAAGAAATGAAACGCAAGCTAACACGGCTACGTAAATTGATCACAGGAAAGCACATAGTAATTGATTTATTTTACGTTTACACACATATGTATATAGGACAGTAATGTTTATACTCGAGTATGTACAACCTTACATTCAGTACAGTTTCACAAAGACGTGAAGGGGAGGTAAACAGTGGAGGTCGTTCAAAAACATAGATAGTAAACATTATACAATAGCATTATCGAACCCGAAAAAGTGCGGTAGTAGGATAGATGTATAGGGAGATTAAAAGGAGACACTATAGATACATAATATACAGTACATTTTCCGAAAAAGTCAGAGTTTTGGCTCCCATTTACGATACAGAAAATTGGCTATAACTCAGTACACAGTAGTAGATACATTTAGAATTTATACGATAACAATTCACTTGATCCCTCGTTAACATGGTGTGTAACACCCTGGCCCAGCGAGTTAAAATTTTGGCAAAGATTTGGGTGAAATACCTTTTGATGACCGCCGATCTTGCTTGTGGATTTGGGCATAGGATTGCAAGGAGCAGCGGCGCAGTCGTTTGTCCCCTTTGTTCTGCTGTCGAATAATAGATATTTACAGACTTATAAAAAATAATATGTCGGTGGTCTTACCGATTTGTAATGCTGGTTAATGTCGGAGGCGGCCTTCAGCAGCAGATAGATGAATACAAGGGCGAATAGGTAGATTATTGGCTCAGCCGTATTGCTCTTCTTGGTCGCATCCTTTTTTCTGTTGACCTCCAGGGATTTGCCCAATCGGGGTTGCTTGCTGACCCCATTTCCAGTGGCAATTTTGGCTCGCTTTCTAGATTTACTTTGGGGCCTCCTGGAAACTTGGTTTTCCGGTAGATTGCGATCAGAATCCTTGCCAAATACATCAATCTTCTGACAGGATGGCTTGCGAGTCTCAGTTCCCGACTCCTCGTCCATGCCTTCCGGCTGGGAGTCAACCGCTTCGAGATTGTTCAGGTCAAGGGCAGCCACGCCCGGCTTGAAATAGTACCTGTAATTGCGCTGCACACCGGCCACCATGAGGTACACAGTGCAGAGCACTACGAGGATGCCTAGCGGCACCACATGGTGGTTGTTTGTGTCCTTGTCCCTGCTCACGCCACTCGATTTTCTGTTTCTGGGAGTTGGAGGCGCCTTGGATTCATCAGACATAGCAATCTTATCACCAGTGGCCGTTTTCATTGCCCAGTGTTCACTATTGCCAAGCAATGACTGTGTGTATCTGTTGACTGCGAGTCCTGGTTTGTGTTTGCGACGAAAAATCGATACGGATTACCTTTACAGCCTCACATTTTGGGTATGCAGTGAATGTCCGCGAGTCCTTTAAAGGTCAAACGACCACCGTGGATGCGCCGACAAGTTTGCTTGATTTTGTATATTTTATTGAACTTAATGGTCTACTTTTGCAACAGTCTGAACTGTTTCGGATACAACACTCTGCGCCACCAGAAAACCACACATGTTTGTGTGTATGTCTAACCTGACCTATGACAATTCTAGTGGCGACAAACGTTAAGTTTGACTTCTTGAATCACGAGTCTTAAATTATATCAAAATAAAAAATTATGTACAAATAGTGAAAACGCTTCAGCATTCAAAGTATCCATTGGACATTCCTGTGAGTTGGTCAAGTATATCTGAAACAAATACAAATTTTGTTTGTAAATCTCTGTAATTACAGCACGTAATCTACAACAAATTACCTGTAATTTGCAAATCTGCAGACTGATTGCTGATCGTGGTGTAAAGTTTTCTGCTTTCAGCTATATTTTGGCGCTTGAACATGACAGTGCGTAAACTTTCTCCTGAAAATGACATGAAACATGTAAAAAATACTATATAGTATCCAACCTTAAATTATCTTTATGAAAAAGTGTATTTTTTTTAATACCTATCCACTTACTTCTCAGCACATTTCCATTCGGTTTTGTTTTAAAAGATTTAATATCCAACGCATTTGTGGTTATTTTATTGTCCTTAGCTCTATTTACTCTGCTCCTACGCTCTGTGTCGTAGAGAATACTGCCGCCGAGGCCGGTTGTAAAGCCCGAGAACTGGGTGAGATCTTCATCAACCCCTTTTGTAGCATACGTCTCATCCAATAAAAGGGGTCCCAAGGGATTAGGTAGTCCATCTTCGTGTTTCCCTGCTCCCAGGCAACCGTGCAGCTTGCGCAAGATCGTACGCAGGATCTTGAATCGCTTAAGAATTCGCTGCGGCTCCACCTGGGATGCGCACATCAGAATGGCCTTGCACTCGCGCAAAATCCTGACGAATTGATGATAGTACTCTTCTCCCACCTGGTTCTTCGTTTCGGCCAGCACCTTTCGGTTGACCTCCAGCTGAAAGTGCTCTACTAACAGCAAGGCCATTTGTGCCAAGTCCTCCAATCGCTGCTTGTCATAGAGCTTTTCGGCGGCACTAATGCCTGAGCTCAGAATCTCCAAGCAGCAACCTAAAAGGGCGCGACTGTCGATGATCTCCTGAAGAGCCGCCTTGAACTTGGACGCTTCCTCGTTGAAGTGCTGCTCTAGGATGGCCGAGTGCAAGTCGGAACCATGGGCCTGTAGAGAAGGTATCAGAGTGGTATCCAGCGACTCAAAGGAGGCCAGACAGCTGCGCATCATCGTTTTCACTGATGGAGGAATTGGACTTCAGTTAAAGGATATCTTATGCGTTATTAAGTTACTCATTACTTTTTAAGTTCGGAGCAAAGGAAATGGCAAATATACCGATCTGAGTGGCACGATCGATGTTCACATCAAAGTCGGCTATGAATTCATCGGCCAATGCATCATCATCGGAACTGTTCCTCAACAGAGTTCTTATTTTGTCCACCGAAAACTTCTCAAAATCCAGGAAGCAGGTGAATACGAGACGCAGCAGGGCATCGTTTATGAAGTCCTCCAATTGAAAGAGCGCCTGCTCAATGGTCATGGCCCTCAGCTTGAGATTGGCTTGGTAGGAGACACTGGGCACCTGACACTCATTTTGAAAGGCATTGCACTCGCGGATTACCTGGAGGAAGAGCTGGGTATTAAAGGGTATCGTAATGGTTTGGCATACCCACCTTCTGGCACAAGGCACTGAGAGCCGTTTTATCCTGTGACAAGGCCACATTGGCGAATCCCAGGGATTGTCCCAGGATCAAGTCTATATTGGCACGAATATTTTGGCTGAGCGAGAGAACTTCCTGGGGTGATTTGGGAAAGTTCGAGGGGTCAGTGTTTTCCTCATTGTGGGATGTGAACAGAGCCAAAGTGTCCAGTGTGGCATCCACCAGTTTTAGGAAGGAGCACTCCGGACCAACTTTATCTGCTCTCGAGCCCTCGCTGTACAGATGTAAAAGGCGCTTAAGACACCATTGAATACGCTCTAGGAAGTACTGATGACTGACCTGATTTGAATAAACTATATTATAACATTATGCCATATTGATTATAGGTAAATAACTCACCGAAACTGAAGTGCCGCATGCCAGTTTCATAGCGTTTTCCACCTGGCGAATGCAGATCATTATCTGGCTCAGGCAAAGGCAAACCAATTCCGAGGCTTCGCTCTGATTTTGGGTGCACAAGGAGCTGTGGACCAGGGTGGAAAATTCCAATAGCGCGGCACACAAGTCCTGCAAAACAAAGCAACAAGTGAGTATCTTTTCCTGCAGAAACAAATCCCTTTTCGGCGCACATTTAACCAGTTTACATCCCCTCTGTTACTCCTGTTTAATATCAGCAAACAGAGCTCCAGTTTTTTTTTTAGAACTTCCATAATAAATGGTTAATTGGAGTTTAACTGATTTAGCAAAAAAGTAAACAACTTTTTTGAAAAGATGGCTTGTGTTTTGTGTGAATGGCAAAAATATATTTTTGGTCAAATTTCTACGCATTAGTGCGTTTTACTTGCCCGGTATTTTTACCTTTTGGTCATTTGGCTCAAAGCTGCATGAAAGCGATAGGCGAATTTAATGCTAATGCTGAAAAATATCAGTAAGTTGCAGTCTTGGGAAAGGTATGAGTTTTTTTGGATCTAGGTATGGTAAAAGACAAAATTTTGAGAAGTATCTAGGAAAGATACAAGGTAGAAAACAAGGTTAAATAGTAATATTATTATTAAATATGATATTATTATATATCTATATATTCTATTTATATATTACATATTTATATAAAGTTGAAATTAAAATATGAATCACTCATATTTGTGATTTTTAATTCATTTCGTTTGAATTTGAGACATTTCAAAAGTAAACAGTTCCAGATCAGATGTTTTTGGCATTCAAATGTCGAAGCAGTATTATTAGAGCTGGGAAAACATCGATATTTATTAAAAGCTATACTTGAAAATATTCCATATATCGATATCGTGGTGGTTTTTTGTTTTAAAGAAAATATTCGATAAGTCGTGAGTGGATAGTCCAGCTCTATTACTTTTTCGGTAGCAAAAACTTGTAGAAAATTGTCAATTCGCTGGTAGTTGTATATCCATGTGAAGCATAGATAAGTTCAAAACTCTTCCCGTCGCCCACGCCACGTCGCACAGTCGCGCACCGCCAGAAATATCAAAAGCAGGCCAAAGAGACCGAGAGAATTACGGAAAATGAGCTCCTCAAATGCGGGACAGCGCACCAAGCTGATTCAGGAGAAATGCCAAACCCTTTTGACGCAGATGCTCCGCGACGAGGATAACAAATACTGCGTGGACTGCGATGCTAAGGGTATGTAGATAAGCCAGTCTTCATATCCGGACGAGAGATACGCCTCTTGGTGACGCACGAATCTGCATATACACACCACACATGCAGCTGCACTGCGAGAAAAGCACTTGTCTCGGGATTAGCCATTTAATTACCCCCCTTGTCGTCCACAGGTCCCCGCTGGGCCTCCTGGAACCTAGGCATGTTCCTCTGCATCCGCTGCGCCGGCATCCATCGCAACTTGGGTGTGCACATATCGCGCGTCAAGTCTGTCAACCTGGACACCTGGACTCCGGAACAGGTCATCTCGCTACAGCAGATGGGAAACTCTCGGGCACGCGCCGTCTACGAGGCGCAGCTACCGGACGGATTCCGCCGTCCACAGACGGACACGGCGCTGGAGAACTTCATCCGGGCCAAGTACGAGCACAAGAAGTACCTGGCCCGTGAGTGGGTGCCGCCCTCGCCGCCCAAAGTGGACTGGGCCAAGGAGATCGACGAGGAGCTGGAGCGGCAGAAGCGCAAGAAGAAGTCGAGCCAGGCTCAGGCCACCTTGGGCCTCGGCGGAGTGTCCAGTGGCAGCGGGGACAAACGCTTAGCCGGCGCCTTGAAGAACGCCCCCCTGCCTGCACCGCTGCCCAAGCCAAAGCCGAATCAGGTGGGTGGCTGCAGCCCCAAGACGACGCAGCGCGTCCAACTGAACAGCAGCGGCGCCAGCAGTGCCGGCGAAAGCGACCTCTTGGGCCTGTCCTCGCCCACCAAACCCATTGCCGCGACCAGTGCCAGCCAAGACCTGCAAAACGAAAGTTTCACCAGCTTTCTCAGCGCCGAATCGATTGCCGGACAGCCGGATAAGCCGAACGGCAGCAATGGTGACGCCACCAATTTGATGGCCTCTAAGCCCAACTCGCTGGCCCAGGAGGAGCAGGACTTCTTTAACCAGGGCTCACTGGGCGCCTCGGGCAGCGAGAAGGACCAGTCCGGCAAGATGTCCAAGGACAGCATCCTGGCGCTGTACGGCAATGCGCCGGCCGCCCACAATCCACAGATCAACTTTGGCGGCTTCACGGGCATGGCCCCAGGCGGATACATGCATCAGCAGCAGCAACAGCAGATCCCCCATCAGTTCATGACGCCACCGAATTCGGTCAGCATGTACAATTCGCCAGTGATGGCTGCACCCAATGCGTTCAGCAACGCCCCCATCAGCAGTGCCACTGCCATGAGCATGGGTGGCGGTAGCCACGGCTTTGCCGGTGCCCAGTTCCCCAGCACCGGCGGCAGTCCTTATGCTGCTGGCGGACAGGGAGCTGCGACGAATCTTATGCAAACGAACCAGAGCATTCTCAGTGGGATGCCGCTGTTTGGAGCGGTGCCTCAGCAGCAGCAACAGCAACAGCATCACCAGCAGCTGGGCGGACTCTCCATAAACTTGATGCAGCCCCTGCCCAGTGGACTTAACATGGGACAGCAACAGGGATCGGGCGGATTTGCCGCCACCGGGCCCACCACCTCCTCAGTACCATCAAATCTGAATCAACAATTTGGCAACCTTAATATCGGTAATGTCTGGCAATAAATACGATGTGTATTTATGTAGTTGTATTCCTTTAATTAATTTTAAGACACGAGTGCTTGTCTCAGTGTTGCAACATGTGTGCGAGACGATGATGCTTGTTTATATGCATTCGATTTGTACAACAACTTGCCAATTTAGTTAGTTGTCCTGAGAGGATTCGGAGCGAAACTATACGTATTTATAGAAGAATTCACTGTCAAGCAAGCCACTGTATTAAACGATGTTCATGTCCACCAACGATCACGTCTGCTCGTTCAAATCTATTCCAATTATTCCATAATACATACGTACACGTGTAAAACCCAACTAATTAAAATTCAACTTTGACACTTAATGAATGCACTTCCCAATCAAATGTACATGTTTTTTGAAACATTAGCTAGGTATTTGATACACACGCCTAAACCAATCGTCCACGCCAGGGTGTGAATGTAAAGTATAGAGATTTGGCAATGTACTTTTTAAATGCCTGATATCCCTAAGAACACATTCACGCCTGTTTGTCAATGTGAGTCTTAAATATCATGGCTGGGGAGTCGACGGATTTATTGTATTCGATTTTTAAGTTGCTATGTCTAAGGAACAAATCAAACCCCTTCGAACTGTGTAATAATAAAATAATCAGACCATTGTATGTGTTTTGTTTCATGCATTTATATGATTTGGAGAAACTAACTTTTCGAGTTCATATTGGACATATATGTATAAAAACAGTCTACCTTCTGAGAATTCCAGCGAAAATGAATTGCCATAACTTGTCAAGTTCATTGAATTTATTTATATACTGCTTGGGGTAAAAATAAATAAGGTCTGCCGAAAAATATGGCATTTCGTTGACTTATCAAAAATTGAGATGATTTCATCAGTTTGAATTTTTGCAGTCCTTCCCGCCGATTTGCCATTCGGCGGAAATCGAAAACATTCGGCCATTCACACCGAAACGCCGGCACAACCCGCCTCCTCAATACACGTCAACTTGGAAAATAAATAAAGCAAAGAAAAATATAAATATTCAGCCTATCGAGAGTTGGAAAAATGAGTGACAAAGTCGAAGAGCCGGGGCAGAAGGCCCAGGAAAAGTCCACAAAGGAGGCATACTTCATCAGCCTTGCGGAGTGGACAAAACAGGCTACGATTGCACATAATGCGATGCTTATGTTTCCGTACTATTTGATGGCCAACTATCCGCAGTTGTTTCAGGGACAGGTGGCTCCTGTTCGTGGCCTCCAATCAGCTACCTTGGGTCAGCCTCATCCGTCTGCTGTTCCCCCTCTCCCGGCTCCGGTTGCAGGAGGTGCTGCTTCGCCGGGTGCACCAGTTGCAGTTGCTGCTCCACCACCGCAAAACTTCAGTCGCCTGCGAGTCCTGGACGAGGCACAGCAACTGGAGACCATTCAGCGACTGGGCGGTTACGAGTACGTCGTAGCGCCCTTCTGGAAGCGCGCCGTGGCCGAGACCATCGATGTTTTGATCCTCTTCGTCCTGAAAATTATCATCACATTCGGGGTGGTGAACCTGTTCGACATTGAATTCGATAAGGACGTCATGCGTCGCACGTTGGACGAGGAAGACCTGTTCGTAAACTTCTTCGACATCTCGCTAGACTTCATAACGATGTCCACAGACCTTCTGCTAATCGAGCTGCTCACAAAGCTGACAGTCTGCTGTTACGAGGCGCTTTGGACATTCTTCTACAATGGAGCCACGCCCGGCAAATCACTAATGAAGATCCGCATCCACTACGTGGAGGCTGTGATGCCGCTACAGGCGCCCGCCCTGCCGCAATTCGTGCTCCAGCCGCAGCGGGAGCCCATGAGGGCCCTGCTCTACCCGGCTCAGACGCCCACACTGATGCGCTCCTTCGCACGCTCCCTGGCCAAGAACCTGGTGATGACCCTGCTCCTCCCAATCTGCGTAGTGATGATCTTTTTCAAGAACAACCGCACCGCTTACGACATCATGACGAAGACGATAGTGGTAGAGACTAATTCCAACGCCGTGTTCCGCACCCAAGTGCCACCGCAGCGCAACCGCTGAGAACGGGAGCTGATCCAGTCAAAGTGTATGGGAATTGTGCGCTCCTTCCTATGCATATTTAATTAGACTTTATTGTTAAAGCTAAATTTAATGTCGTTACGTACTGCTGTCCTGTGAAATATAAAATTAAATCTCAAACACATTGCATTATCCTACGGCTTGTAGCAGTGCTTGAAAACGTATCCTAAATGGTTTCCAAATCCATTAAACTAGGAACCGTTAGTCTTGTGAAAGATTATAAGGAGAATACTCTGACCAAATCCTTTTTTAACTCATGCAGGACCCTAGTTTGTAGAAAGCTTTTGCAGGCGGTGATGTTTCTTTTATTTGGCTCACTTCACATTGACGTTCTTGAGGGTTTGGGCCAACACGTTCCCCTTGCCGGGAACATGAAGAGCGGCGCCTTTGTAGCAGGCGACCAGATCGCCGTTGGTCATCAGGTCCGGGGCACACGCCTCGAAGATCTTCTTCTTGGGGTTGAGCTGGGCGTCCGGCTGGCGGGGATAGCCCTCGCAGTGCACCAGATCGCCGGGCACGGCTCCGACGGGCGGACTAAGCACCTCAACCTTGTCCGGCGTAGAGGCACACATGACCATCGCCTCCGAAGTGACGCCGCGCATCTTGGCTGGCTTCAGGTTGCACATTACCACCACCAGGCGGTTCTGCATCTCCTCCAGGGGCACAAACTTCACCAGGCCGGACACCACGGTGCGTGGAGCCACCTCGCCGCAGTCGATCTTCTCCAGATACAGGCTGTCGGCGTCGGGATGACGACCCACCTCCACTATCTTGCCCACGCGAAAGTCCAGGCGGCCCACGTCTACGGGAGCCTCTGGAGCTGCGGCTGGCTTCTCGGCGGCCGGTTTCTTCTCCTTGACCTTCTTCTCCTTGGGCTCTTTGGCTGCCTTGACGGCCTCAGCAGCGGGAGCAGGTGGAGCCGCGGCCGACGGAGCTTCTGGCGCACTGGTGCAGAATCCTCGGGATCCTGGCACCGGAATTTGTTTCTTGCCATTCCTCAGCTCCAGCTGCACCAGTTGGGCCAGTGCGGCCTCCACCTCCTTGGCCAGTTTTGCGTTCTCCTTGATCAGCTCCTGCTTCTGGCGCTCCACAAGTTGTTGCTGGATGCCGGAAATCTGGTGGGCAGGAGGTTATCAAAGGTGTGGCGGAGGATAGCCAGCGAAAATACTTGCCTCGGCTTCGATGGAGTTGATTAGCGCCTCGGCGCGCTCGTTGTTGTTGGCAATTAGCTGCAGGTCAGCCATGGTTCTCCGGTTTTTCTCGAATTTAGTGAAATACTTTTTACATGCGGATCCCACAGTCGTGGCAGTTTTACGCAGCATTGCATTGCTTCTTCTTACAGCTAACAGTCGCGTCGACTCACATCGAACAGGTTGCCTTTTTAATATGGTATTATATCAGCAGTCAGACAGGGTCACACTGATCAGTGCAAACGCAAAATCGGCTGGCAGTTTTGAGCAAAATTAAAAATAAACAATAAACAAAAGGAGGCCATCACCGAGCCGCCGATGGATTACGTTTATTGTGGCGCCGACCCGATCGGCGCTTCCGAGGACATATTAAGTGGGTCAGGGGGTCACTTTTCGGCCCAACGCTCACCACACACCACGCACGCACACACATGCAAACCAGCTAAGCTTTCTCCTTTGTTTTCTTTTTCTGTTTACTTTTTGCAAAAGGTGTTTATGATGCGGGATCTGCGCGCGGAACCGGGCACTTCTCGCCCAGCTTTAATGGCTTCAACATCGGCACCACGGACCCCGACTACGTGGAGCTGGTACCCGTGCTCGCCGACGGCGGGGAGCACTTTGGCGTCTCCAGCGTGGCGTTCGACGACTACGAGGAGCTTCTCTGGATGGGTAACCAGGGAGTGAGTATCATTTACGCCCTCGCTGACTTCCACTGCTAATCAGCAATCTCCTTCTCTTCCCGCAGGGCCATGTAACCTCTTACTACACCAGCTCCATGCAGAAGTACACCTCCTTCCAGGTTCACGCCAGCGACATTGTCCGCCAGATCACCACCCTGGACTCCGGAGTGCTGGTGCTCACGCAGACCTCGCTGCGCCACCAAATCCGCCGGGGTCTGCCCAAGTTCACCCATAAGTATGACACCTAGTCGCCCCAAGCTGCCTCCAAATCATTCGTTTAATTCGTCTTGCAGGTCCAACAACATGACAGAAATGGTGAGCATGCTGCAGCTGTCGCCACACCGCCTGGTCATGGCTGGGCTGCAGGAGGAGCTCATCGACTTTGACATGCGCACGCTCAAGGAAACCAGGCTGGAGCATGTGGGCGCTGCCGGCTGCACAGTGCTGCGCAAAAACTCTCGCTTTCTGTTCGCCGGCGACCAGCTGGGCACGGTCACGTTGCGCGACCTGAACAGCCTGAGTGTCCAGCATACAATCAAGACGCACACCAACGTACTCTCGGACTTCAGTGTCCAGGGTAATCTGCTCATTTCCTGCGGATACAGCGGACGGCAGAATAACCTTGCCATCGACCGCTTCCTCATGGTCTACGATCTGCGTATGCTGCGCCTGATCTCGCCGATTCAAGTGATGATTGACCCGCAAATGTTGAAGTTCCTGCCGTCACTTACATCCCGCTTGGCTGTCGTGTCCAGCTACGGCCAGGTTCAGCTGGTTGACACCGTGGAGCTGAGCGAGCCGCGTGTCTCCATGTATCAGATCAACACCAACGGCAGCCAGTGCCTTAGCTTTGACATAAGCTCCTCCTCTCAGGCCATGGCATTTGGCGATCAGTCGGGCCACATCAATATGATTGCCGCGGTGCAAACGCCCCAGCCGCAGTTCAATCCCTTCTCGCGAAACACAGAGTTCGCGGACGTGGTGCCACAGCTGCCGATGGTCTCTATCACGGACACCAACTTCCCACTGTCGTCGGTTATGCTGCCCCACTTGACGACGGGCACGCAATGGTTCTCTGACTGGCCGGAGGAGCTGCTGCGCTATCGCTATCACAGACCCAAGACCATCGATCCCGATGTGCTGAGCAACATGAAGATGCAGGGACCCATTGGGTACTCGCCAAACCCGCGCACCGCTCGCCGAAATCAAATTCCGTATGTGATTGAACAGGGAGGCATATGCAGCACAAATGGGAACGGAACTGCAGCGGTAACCAAGGCTGAAAACGGAGTCAAAATCATTCCAAGACGGTATCGCAAAGTGGAGCTGAAGTACACAAAGCTGGGCACCCAGGACTTTGACTTTGAGCAGCATAATCAGACGTGTTTCGCTGGACTGGAGGCAACTCTGCCCAACTCCTACTGCAATGCCATGCTGCAGGTTCGAATTTCTTGACTTAGGGTGTCATACAGATTAATCAACTGGTCATCTTTCGTCTAGATACTGTATTTCACAGAACCTCTGCGTGCGAAGCTGATTGAGCATTCCTGCACCAAGGAGTTTTGTCTATCCTGCGAACTGGGTTTTCTTTTCAACATGCTGGATAAAAGTACTGGTTAGTTAGTTGACCTCTAAAATCTTGCTGCTGCTCAGAAAAGAATGTTTTCTTTGCGTTTTTTTTTTTTTAGCTTCATCACCATGCCAAGCTAGCAATTTCCTGCGCTCTTTTCGCACTGTACCGGAGGCCTCGGCATTGGGCTTGATTCTCACGGATCGCTCTTCTAATGTTAATCTTATCACTCTCATACAGGCAAGTAAAGCCATTGATTTATAACCAAATATTTAATATATGCACGCCCTCAGAACTGGAACCGATTCATTCTGCATCAAATGCATTACGAAATCTTCGATTCCAGCAAGAACGCCTCTGTTTCGAGCGGATCTGTGCAAACATCTACAAACGGTAATGAAAACAAATATCTTTGATAACAATTGTGCATGCATTAAATACGTGTTTTGATTGTAGCCGAAAACACGAGTCCGTCAGAAACGAGTGGCTCTTCGGACTTGTATGATTCCATATGTGGTGAGTCGTTAATATCATTTTCAATTTAAACTTATGTCTTATTTTTTAATTTTATCCACATTTTAACAGATGAGAATTCTAAAGAGGAAGACCGGGAACGCAGTAAGATTAACGCAGAAACGGAAATCAGTAAAATCTTTGGGACCAAACAAATTTGTATAAACCGCTGCATAAAATGCCAAGTGGAGAAGTCGAAGGAGAACATTTTACTTGCCTGCAACATGTCGTACCCTACCCACATCAAAGATAGTGAACAGTATTTCAGCTTTGGCACCATTTTAAAGCGTTCTCTCAGCTCCGAAAAGAGCATTCAGGCCTTCTGCGAGAACTGTAAAAAGTTCTCCCCAACTAATCAGAGCGTGAAGGTCAGAATCCAAGTATATGAAACCAATCCTGCAAAAGGAAATTTAAATTCTTCAGTAGAATAGATTGTATAATTGAAATCTGTTAAATTTTAACCGTCCATACTCACCAATCCAAATCGACTTTAATTATACTCTTAACAAACCTTAGCCATTAGAAACCTAATTGCTGACCAACATTACATTTTCAACAGGTCAATTCCCTTCCCCAAATGCTGGCCATTAACTGCGGTCTCAACAACGACAAAGACATAAGCTTTCTAAAGCGGCAACTTAATCGCTGCAACGAAAAACCATCTGCCGATGCAACCGCTTCTTTGAGCACTAGTAAACCTTGCCGCTATGGAGCCAACTGTTCGCGGAGCGACTGCCATTTCATGCACCCGGATCGGTAGGTTATCCTATGTCGGATCTGAATTCTCTCCTCATTTCAAATTCTTTCCTAAATTGCAGGAAGTCGCCATCGCACACAAATCAAGCTAATAATGTCAATAGTTCTCCAAATGGTCGACAAAAGTCATGGTTTCCGCTCACTTTCATTATGGGCATTAATGACCAAAATGAGCTGCAGGTGCAAACTCAATTGGATGCAGGCGCTGGAAAATCTGAGCAGGAGGAGGAGGGTGAGAAGCCACAAACAAAGATTGGGGACAACAATCGGACGTACGCCCTGCATGCTGTGGTCTGCCAAGTCGATGATGGCACCCAGAAGAACTTGGTGTCCCTGATAAATGTGCAGCGGCAATATCACACCATGAAACTGGCGGAATCCCCAGAGGACCCTCAAAATCAATGGTATATTTTCAACGACTTCAGGTAAGTTTTAGTCCTTAATATAATTGATATTTGCCAAATAACATTGCTACTTTTATTGCTAGCATTTCTCCCGTATCGCCACAAGAATCGGTATGGTTTACTCTGGATTGGAAAGTGCCCTGTGTACTGTTTTACAGGAGCGTGGACGATGATTCCGAATCTGCCAGCACTACGAGCTCCACGGTCACAGAAAGCGATGAAACCGTTCCGTCTGAGAGCAGCAGCGATTCACCCTCAAACTTATCCAACCCCTTTTTAGAGGTGCACACCCAAAAGCATTCGTTTCCTTGCATAGAGTACTAATCTTTTTTACAAGCAGGACATGGTTAATCCTATACCAGGCAACCTGAGCACGGACGCCACACTGAAGCCGTTGGAATCGGACGAGATGCCGCAGTCCGGTGACCTGGTCGCAATGGATGCCGAGTTCGTCACCCTAAATCCGGAGGAAAACGAGATTCGCCCAGATGGAAAGACGGCGACCATTAAGCCATGCCACATGAGCGTGGCCCGCATTTCCTGTATTCGGGGGTAATTTTATGGTCCAACCTAATGACTTCTCCAGTTAAACATGGAATTAATAACCTTTTTAGACAAGGATCAAATGAAGGAGTTCCATTCATGGATGATTATATCTCCACTCAGGAGAAGGTAGTGGATTACCTAACACAATTCTCGGGCATCAAACCAGGTGACTTGGACGCCAACTTCAGCAAAAAACGACTCACTGCCCTCAAGTACTCATATCAGAAACTAAAATATTTGGTCGATGTCGGCGTAATATTTGTTGGACATGGTCTGAAAAATGATTTTAGGTGCGGACATCATTTACATAAGCTTGCCAAGGTATTTCTAATCATTCTTGATGTTTAGGGTCATCAACATTTACGTGCCGTCCGAGCAAATAATTGACACGGTACACCTGTTCCATCTGCCTCACCATCGAATGGTTTCCTTGAGGTTTCTGGCCTGGCATTTCTTGGGTATGTTCGTGCTACATTTCAGCATCGTTCTGTTTGTGAATCGAATCTTGAACTCCACAGGTACAAAGATACAATCCGAGACGCACGACTCCATCGAGGATGCGCGGACCACTCTAGAGCTTTACAAACACTATTTGAAACTGCAGGCTGACAAAAAGTTCGCCAACGCCCTCAAAAACCTCTACGATCGCGGAAAGCTGCTTCAGTGGAAGGTGCCGGAGGACTGAATCTGTTCCCAACCCGTTGCCAACCCGACGAAATGCATAATCAAAGTAATCGTCAGTACAAATGCTTCTCCGATCTGAAAACCCCGGCTTTTCTTTATATTATTATGTTTGTCTTCGTTTATTTTTGCTAATGAGCTTTTGGTATTTAATTTTGTATTTGTCTATCTTTATAACGAAATCAAAGAAAAAACATAAAAATTGTATATCTTATCAGTAATCAATTGTTTGTTGTTATTGTGCGCCATCCCTCTAAGTCAAAAGATCATCAATTTGTTTACAAAATGCACAATCAGGTTGTGGTAGACAAAGTGTTAATGCCTTCACTGATTGACAATTCGTGTAGGTCAATTCGTTGAATGCGTTCTGAAATTCCCACTCGGGCTCCCTTATCATCATCGACATTCGGGAATTTTTCAGAGGCTGTCGCTGTCGCTAATTCGATGAGTACCTGATTTTGGTCTACTGCGCAGCTACTTATAAATACGACGAGCAAGTCAAGCCAGTTAGTTAAATCTCACCAGTCCGCCACAGAACACAGATCGAAATGCGCTTTCTTGGACTACTCGTGCCGATCGTTTGCGGTCTTTTGTGCGTCGGTGAGCAACCCCAACTCCATGGCCGCACCCAACTGCGATTAATGGGCATTTAATTACTCCCGTAGCTGCCGATCCGCAACAAATATACGACGGACGCAATGGGCCGCACGTTTACGGAACTCCCGGCCATCAAGTCTACATTCGGGGGCAAAACGATGGAGTATACAAGGTGCCAGGAGTAGGTGGCCAGTTCCAGCACTCATCATCGCCGGCGGAACACGTCTACACGGACGAGCAGGGAAACACTTATGTTCACCGAAAGAAGGCTGGTGGACCAGGTAGACAAGGATCTTGCTTAAAGGCTTTGTTGAAATCCAATCAAATATTTTAATTTAAAGGTACTCATAGTATAAGAGGACCCGGTCCAGTCGTCGCACAGCCCATATATCCCGCAGTCCAGGACTCACGTTATGGACCTGCGGCTTCAGGCCATCGCATTTCTCGTAGTCCCCAGTTCCATGTGGAGCGTCCTGGACGCACTGTGGATGTGGGTAACGGAGGATTTGTTGTCCAAAGAAGTCGCCGCAGTCCCCAATTTCATGTGGAGCGTCCTGGACGCACTGTGGATGTGGGTAACGGAGGATTTGTTGTCCAAAGAAGTCGCCGCAGTCCCCAATTTCATGTGGAGCGTCCTGGACGCACTGTGGATGTGGGACCGGGAGGATTTGTAATTCAGAGGAGCAGCCGCAGTGTCAATGATGGACGCGTCCAGGGCGAAAATTTTGTGGCTCGTGACGATCAGGCTGGCGTGTGGGACGAAAGTGTTTCGGTGTGGAGGCGTCCAGATGGGCGGACTGTTACCGTGGGCGCCGATGGAAGCACCATTATTTCTGGTCATGGAAAAACACAGCACGTGAGTAGCACAAATCCACAATCTTATTTCAGCCTAAAATATTATTTTTTGCAGTACTGAAAAGATAATGTCTTTATACCTCTAGAAAAACAGGAAGGAGTAAACAAAACTTATAACGACTTTAAAGTTTATTTTAATAATTTACTAATAAAGAGAATGTTTTTTAATTAAAATTAAAAGCAATAAACTTTGGCTGAATATATATAAAGATACAAATAACTGGTTTGCTTAGTGAGCAATCTTATAAAGTAAAAATAACCCAAAAGAGCATTTCGCTTTCTGGGCACTAGCATTATTATGGGTGGAACAGAAATGTGGTAATGGTAGGAAGACAGGTAGCCAAGGATTGTAATGTTATTTAAAATATTATTAAACACTTATAATCCAAGCTTAATACGTGGGCCACAGATCTAAAAGAGATATAACTCCAATGCGAGGTTAAAACATCCAAGGCGAAAAGCTGTTAGGGATATTTGCTAACAATGGCAAGACAAGTAACAATTAATTTTTTAAATTGTTGCCTTTAACATCGAAATTGGAAAAGTCGTCTTAATTGACAATTTCGAACTATTTGAAGATTGCGATCGAACCGTTAAATTTGTTAAATATTTATTGAATAATAAGATGTTCTCGTCACCAGAAAGACTTTATTTAATTTATTAAATAATCAGCGGCAAAAAGTATGTTAAGTTTTTTTTAGCTAGGAATTGTATTTTGGTAAATAATATGGAAGAATAATATTCATAAAAAATATTAATTTCAACGTTATCTATCCTTTCCTCAGCGGCAAAAAGTATGTTAAGTTTTTTTTAGCTAGGAATTGTGTTTTGGTAAATAATATGGAAGAATAATATTCATAAAAAATATTAATTTCAACGTTATCTATCCTTTGATCGGCTTGAAAGGTATAACTTCTTTCTTTTGTTCTTTTACAACAAAATGTCCTTACCCAACATTTTACTTAATTTATGATAAACATCGAACTCATTTCTTTGAAGCACGTTGAAGACCCACTCTACGACTGGGTTGAGTTTTTTTATTCGCAACGGGCTCCTCTGGCTTGCGAACCTCTTTTGTTGGTTTCTTCGTTTGCTTATCCACTTCCACATCTGATTTTTTAGCGGTTTTACTTTCATCTGATGCGCGAGCCCGCTTCTTGGGCTGCGTTTTTGAATCTTTTTTAGTTCGCAGCGGTTTTGAAGTGGCTTCAGGTTGCTCTTCAGTGGATTCCTCTGTATCATTACACTGAGGATCGACTGGCGGCTTCACCGCAGCCTTGCGGCCTCTTTTTCGCTTCGGTTGAGAGTCCTGCGCTTCACTGCTAGTAGCACGTTTCCTCCGTTGTCCCTTCTTCTCTACAACTACGGTTACAGCTTCCTCCTCCTCGATTTCCTCAGGATATGTTGTGGACTGAGCGTCTTCCTCTTCATCTTCATCTCGATCTGGATCGGGATCCCCAACAGTGCTGTCCTCTGTGGATATATTGCGGCCTCTTTTTCGCTTCGGTTGAGAGTCCTCCGCTTCACTGCTAGTAGCACGTTTCCTCCGTTGTCCCTTCTTCTCTACAACTACGGTTACAGCTTCCTCCTCCTCGATTTCCTCAGGATATGTTGTGGACTGAGCGTCTTCCTCTTCATCTTCATCTCGATCTGGATCGGGATCCCCAACAGTGCTGTCCTCTGTGGATATATTGCGACCGTCCGATATACTGCGCTCTATAGCCGCTCTAAGATCTGTCGACTTGATGTCAAAGTCACGCATCGTTCCCAAGTGTAGGTAATCCGTAAGCCTATTTTGGCTTTTGGTTTTTTTCGACAGCAGGATAATGTGCTTGTTGAAGTCCTCGATTACCATTATCACCTTGGGAATTAGACGGGTCTCTCTCAGAACTTTGGCACGCTCTGCCTCAACCTTTCGCTTTTTCAAATGCTGCTGCGCCTCCTCATCAAGGGTATTCGCTTCTATGTACGTAATTAGCTCGTAGATATTAGCCGGAAGCTGTTTGCCCACATCACGAAGTAGTAGCTCAAATCTGGTGTGGATTGAAATGAAGTTGTGGTTCAATAACATTGTAAAATTCGATTAGATGGACATACTTAGTGCTTCGAATGTTTTCAATGCTTGCATCAGATGAGTAGCTCGCTATATAGTGTTTGGTCAGGTTCTTCATACAAGTGAAGTGCTGGATTAACAATTTCATAAGTCCATCCATAGAAGAGCCCAGGGGAATGCAAACGTTGGTGAGAACAAGCAAAGTGCGAGATATGTGGATTATTTGTGTGCAAATAGAACGATCCATGGCATCCAAGTTACCCCGCCAATATACTTGATCAATTTCTGGAACTACTTGGCATTTGTAGTTCAGATTATTGGCCTTGGTCACAAAATAGTCCACATCGGTCAGCTGCTTCTGGACAGCTGTATAGAGATGCTGCAAACAACTCTCGGCGGTCACTGTGCTAATGGACTTAAGATTCAGTTCCACGGAATCCGATGGTTTGTCTTCATTTTGGACCCCGAGGACGAGACCCAATTGCCTGGCCACGCCGTCAAAAAAGGGACCCAAATGGGTCTTCTGCCGCTGCACAAATAGCATTCTGTGCACCATACCCATTTCGCTATTGAGAATTTCGTTCTTGCAGCAAAAGTTAAGGAGCCAAGTGAACGATTCCGTGGCCGCACGTTCTCCGTAGTCAATGTGATCCAACAGAATCTCCAGAGATTCTAAAAGGCAAATGGGCACTTTGGCAATAAATTCATCTTTGTGAATTGATTCGTCACTGCCATATTCCGTCATAAACTCGTCCAAGACATCCTGTACAATATAAATGGCTTCCTTGTTCCTGCTTCCCTTTATAGATGCCATATCTGAAATACAAAAACTTTCTTTTGGTTTGATTTTAATTTAATTGTTAGCTTGGCTTACCAAATGTCTTGACAAAATCTTGGAACTTCTTGGGATAGGTTTCATGGGCTGTTCGTAGGCACTCAGCAAAACACTGAGCAGCTAGGGCGGAGCTTTGCATATCGAAGTTTCTCCAAAACTCGGGCAGACGTTGAATGCAGCGCTCATATATGATCTTGGTTATGTCTGTCAACTGTTTGAAAGTGCGCTTGCTGTAAGCCAGTTGCTTATAATCGGGCTCTTGGCGTATAGTTTCCACCCTGTTGGCTGTTACCGATAGAACATAGCGAACAAGAGGCTCGTTGGACCGCAATAGACCTGTCTTTTGAGAAGCAGCAAATGCAACAACGTCACTATAAAATATTAAAATAAGATTATAAAAGAAGCAACGATAAAGACCAAAAAGAACTCACTCGAGCAGCAGATGCAGCAGCTTGTCCAGAATAGCCAGATCCCAAATGTTCTCCGGTTGGGTACACATACTTTTTACAGGAACACCATTCAAAGTCAGATTGACGGCTGAAGTACTATTATTCTTGGCCGTTTGTTTCAATTGTTTGTGGGCCTTCTTAGATGAGTCAGCCAATGACTTGAGAGTCTCCAAAAGCTTGCAATGCTGGTTGAACAGCGGCAAAATTTGGGAAACGGCATCGTTTTGTGGCTTCGAGCTAAGCAGTAAGTGACTTATTATCCCCTCAATAATGTTTAGTTGTTGCAATACGAGGGCGCATTTCAGATGTGTGGCTGGTGGTGACTAAAATCGAATTAAATTAGTTTCTTTTTTAGGATTCTAACTTTACTTACAATGTCCTCTAATGGCAATCTGTTGGCCACCATGCGGTCCACACAAAAACTCAATAACCGATTCATCTCTCTAGTGTCGTAGCCCGATGGAGCTCGTTCGAAGATTACCAAACAGTTGGCTACGAACTGAATCAATCGACCCAGGTTATCCTTAAGCTGAAGCTCCATATGTTGGTCATCGCTGGAGCTAACCAACTGATCGTAGCGAATGCGAAAAACTGTGTCCAAATCGTCACCAGCATCTTCTGCAGAGGGGGTTTCAAAAAAGCTGCGAAAATGCCAATCTATTACTTGCAGCACATGGGGCACTAGTTTAGCATTAAGCTCTACGGCCCTCTGAAGATCTGTGTAAAATAGATTTTAAAAGTATTTAGTTTGAATTTTGAGAGGAATTATTTATGGTTTAATTTACTCTCGTAGAGGGTGCAACGTATCTCAAACTGCTGCTGCAAGCAATTTCGCAGCATGCCAATAATTTCCAGTGTAAGCATGTCGAAGTTTCGCTGCGGATTGCTGCGACTTCCTAGTGTATTCTGCGTCAGTATAGAGTATCCAGAGATGCTGTGCTGAGTGCAGAAGCTAGTGGCACTTGAGGACTGGCGCACCGCATTACTGTTGTTAAGCTGTTTGAGGATCATACAGAACCCATAAATGGCCATACGCCGTTTTTGGATTCCACTAAAAGCATTGTAAATAAGTGTAATACTGATAAATAAATAGTGAGACTCACCTGGAGCTCATTGCCTTGCAAAGCACATCGATCAGCGCATCTCGAACGCGATTGGAAATCTTCAATAGGGGTAGAATAAAGTTCATCATGCGCATGGATTGCTCGCCAGACAGCTAAATTTCATGTTGAAAGTAAAACTTATTACTGCAAAAATCAACAAAACTTACCCACTGCATGTGCTCCATAACAGATTGAATGGTCTTTATACATTCGGAGACGGTGTACGTATCAGCAACACTTAAAAGCGTGAGGCATTCTAGAAGTAATAATCCTTAGTGATAATTATTTATATCCAAATGTTTTTCCTACCCGAGAACTGATTCTGATCCTGATACACGATCATCCACTCCGAAATTAGTTTTACAATGCCCTGGCCGAAGATGAAACGTTTACGTATAAACTTGGTTAGGAACGTTATGGCCAATGCATGCATCTTAGGGGTGTGGGATTTTAGCAGGTAAAATACCAGCTGCACAAGTCCTGGAGTTATCACGTCCTTGCCCTCTTTGTTCTGATCTATAAGCACAGCGAACACCTGCTGCAAATCAACTTGTTTGCGCTGCAAAGTATCGCGATACCATACGGAGTACTCCGCCAACGTTCGCTCCTCTTCATTGTTTTTGATCACATTACGCAGGAAAGGTAGCAAAATGGAGTGGGAGATCCTTGCAGACTCTGGGTCCCGGTTAATGCTGGTCATGGAAATAATGGCGCTAAGCATAAACGGCGTTAGGATCACATCGGGCATGTGCACGAAATTCTGAAAAGCGTGATAGTTAATAAGTCTTCTTAATTTTCAACAGCAAATATCTGATTACCCTTAGCATTATGGCCAAATGTTTTTCAGTTAGCTTGTACATGGTACAGTAGTTTAAATGATGAAGGATGGTCTCCTCCGCCTCCCTTAGCTCCTTGTCCGAATATGAGTCTAAAAAGCGACAGATACAGATTTCAGGCTATAATTCAGGCGTAATTCAAGCTAACCAATGCTATCCAAGTTGGTGGAGTTGCTGCACATGTCTGAGAAGAGGCGTTTGTAGAAATTGCGATGAAAATACTTCTCCAGGGCCAGCAAAGGAATAATTAGCTGTGAGGCAGTGCTGCACATCGAGAAAAGCTGGAAGCACAGGGCGGGCAGTTCCATGGGCGACAGCTCCTGCAGGGCGCCAGAGAACTTGTTGAGCACCGTCAAGATCTCTGCACTGCTGAGATTCATGGACCTAAACAAAAACCACTGGTTAGGTAAATAAAACAGGGGAAACAACTCAAGCTTGGTCACCCACTTGAACATGTCTGCAATCGGAGTGAGAATGGTGGCAGGCCACTGCATGGTGGCCATACTTCTCACAGTGCTATCCCTGAACTCAGTTCCTTCCATGAAGATGCCGTGCCGAAGAAACCGCGGCCTGGCCAAAAGTAGCGATAGTGCACTTGGCAACAAATCCTTCCAGCCCACGCACTTGGCGTCCCCCTGGCGCATCCCGTCCATGCAGTGCTCCACGATCCAGGCCAGCTGGTCGGAGGGGAAGGTGACCAGATCCTGAGACAGGCGCGTGATCAGATCGAAGGTCTGCTTGTAGCTGAGTTCCATGCTGCCCAGTCCGTCCATGAAGCTGCGCACGCACTCGAATCGCTTCGCCACAGCATCCTCGTTGTCCGGATTGAAGCCCAGGAGCAGGTAGTTCCAAAAGGTTATCCCTTCGCTGCGCGACATCGTGGTCTTCAGCGTGTTCTTCAACTGGTAAACAAAAAACATTGATCAACATAATTGCGATGCCTTGTACTGCAGGAAGTACTACCTCTTCAATTGGCGTGTTTTGAATTAACAATTCTAGTTCATTTTGGCGGCCCTTCTCGCCCAGGTTTCGCATCCATGTCAAAATTGAATCTCGGGCCATTTCGAAGCTCTTTTAGCGAAGTAAATTACAATTTAAACAAAATCGCGCCAGATGTAGCCAAGTACCCAAATTAGAGATGGCAAACTTACGATAAGACTTTCCATGGCTTCATGGTCTGAAATCGATAACATCACAAAATGGCGGGACTTTTAAAGTAATAACAACCACCGAAAACTTAAATATTACTTAAAACAATGGTTCCCCCGAAAAATTGTTCACGATTGACAGTTTTTTCCAATTAAAGACGATTTTTCATAACTAGAAACAAAACTAAAGAATATAGGTATATTTAACAATTCTTTTAAGTTGAATTGCTCAAATTGCTTAAATATCAATTTCAAATCTTATTTATCATATCATATCATATCATAAATGAATCTCATGTATTTCGAAAATCTTTAAAATCACGCGACTTTGTCAAGTTACAAACTGTTCCAACTCTTTTGAAGAGAAACTTAAGAGCGTTGAAGTCGGTTCGAAAGCTCTACTTGAGTACTACTCTACTTGTGGCTCTTAAATGGAAGTATGCATATCCAACCGTTTCCCATTCCTTTGCCCCCTTTGGACTACGATTTGCCATATAAAACCAAAAGCTAGGCTGCAGCGCCAACAGTTGCGTGAAGCCAATCGCCAGGTGAACAAGTGAAAATAATAAGTAGAAGAACATAAATTAAATACACAAAATGCGCGGACAATTGAAAGCTCTGGGAGTGGGAAGTGTGGTTCTGGCAGTGGTGCTCCTGTTTCTGGCGCGGAGTGGCGAGGCAAAGCCCATGGACCTGTACGACGACGTGAGCGACTTCTTCGACGCCATCTCGCTGGACGATGTGGCCAACACCGGGCGCAACACTCATCCGGAGCAGTTCTGCCTGATGCCGGCGCGCAAGGGAGTCTGCCGAGCTCTAATCCCCCGCTGGCGCTACGACCCGGAGCAGAAGAAGTGCGTGGAGTTCAAGTTCGGCGGCTGCGACGGCAACGAGAACAATTTCTCCAGCTACAAGGACTGCATGTCCACCTGTGAGGGCATGTAGGGTCCTGCGGATCGGGATCGGGATCAGGATCGGCCTTCCACGGTCGAGGTGTTGCCAAAGGCGCCTGCTTTTACTTCGAACTCTGCAACGTAGCGAACCAAAGGCAGCATAAGCATACTCTACTCTAACACTCACGCACATCACAATCCATGCGATTAACCGTCTCTTCTACCTAATATTTATGTAGTTTCTATCATTGATCCATTTATTTTGTACTTTTTTTTGGGTATCCGACACCCGCCACCCAAATAGAGCTTAAGTTATTGTGATAAAATATTTTTATGGAATAAAGAATTTTATAAAACACCAAATTTGCAATGGTTTTTTCTAAAAGGTAAAGGTGTAAAGTAGATCTAAATGGAGAAAAATCTATAAAAGTTGGAGGTGCTTTTCTAAAATGCGAAAAAACTGAGTAAGAGTGAGTTTTTCAAAAAAACTAAACAAGGTAATCTCTGGTAAAATTAAGGTTTTAAGAATTTAGTCATTAAAGATAGCTATTGTTTTTTTTTTAATAAAAATAATTTCACAAATGTCGAAAACGTAATTTCTAGATTATTCTATAATTTATAAAGATATCATTTGTTTCCCTAGAATTACAAAATAGTACAATACTTTACTCCCAAAAAATTAAAAGTTAATTCATTACCAACTCTAAGAATTCAATAATTAATACACGGTAATTTTGTAAAATGTATTTTTAAGAAACAGAATGTCGAAAACTCATCAGAATCATATCCAATGCCCAAAAATATATAGTTTCTAGATTATTCTCGCAGCTTCAAATGTTTGTTGATAACCAAAATAAATCAAAATATGCTAAAGATAGACAACTGGTTTTGTGAATATTTATAAACATGCATAGTTTTGAACTACCGATTGTGTTGCCCAAGCTAAACAAAATCGCGAAAACAATATTCAACGGCCTCAAAAAGTATGAGAGATCGTTTGGCGCAATTGCCAGAGGCAAATATCAGGCGAGGCAGCTTAACTTTCATAGATTTCACTTGGAAATGGTCCAAACCGAGCTCAAAGCTCTCAATGCAAAACTGGCCCATTCATGGGACCGGTGATGAATCGATCGATCACCACAGACATGGCAATAGCAAACAAGATCACGCAAAGGTCAAATACGGACTGATGACTGGACCACAAACACATCAATGGGTGCTAGTTGGGTCTAGGCAAACCACTACGTCAGCGGTAAAAATACGCACGGATACGGTACGGACTTGGACAGATGGACAAGCAAACCGGTGAGATACCGATACCGAATCCGAATCCGAATCCAAAACCAAACGCGAATCCGAGCCAAAGTCACAGTAAGTAAACATAAACAATTAAAAGGTGCGAATTTATGCTAAGCCGTTTGGCAATAAGCCAGACAAAATATAGAAAGAGACAAGACGAGATCGAATTCAGTCAATATGCATAATTGGAATTCGAAGACGGAGTCGCCGGAGCGAAACGCCGACGAGGGCAAATGACCGATTTGGGTTCGGACTACGCTCTCGATCCAGATCGAATGGGAGTGGGCCTGGCCTGGGACTGGGCAAATTTCCAAGATTATTCTGCGGGCCTGCACTCGTTCGTATAAATAGTAAATAGTAAATGGGTTCGCTGGCAAACAACAAAATCGTTGGATCAATGACCTGAAGTCGCTGGCCAAAACAAAATGCGAAAATGCGGGCCCAGTCGTGGAGTTGCAACATCCCTAGCGGCGACGCCACTACGACCACAAAGACCAACTGTTGCTCCAGCTCCATCAATGTCTTCGATACCCCTTTGCAGAGAGAGCCTGGACAGTGGTCAATTCAAATCCAAGCCATTGGAGTTATATCATTCCACCTAAATTAACAAAACGGGAAAAGGAGGAATTTAATGAAACTTGTCTTAGGTGGAATATATGTAAATGTATTTTACTTGGAACCAGTTGCCAAAAATTTAAATTTCTTTCAAGTTCAAGCCATTGAAGTACCTAATATAATTCCCCAAAATAGTGCTTTATTTTAAAATTTTCAGAAAAGTTAGTTGCCAACATATGACATAATGTTAATAAAGTTATTTATTTTGATACTTTATTTTTTCTCAAAGGATTTAAGGACAATTTAACGTAAGATGACACAAAAACAATATGCCAGATACAAGAGAACAATTATGTATAATTCATAATAAAGAATAAAGAAAATATAAAATATTTTCACTAAATCGAACTTAAAAAGTCAGCCTTTTAAATAAAACTGCAGATAAGTTGAATAAGTTTCTCATTGAAGAGTGTTTAATCACACGGCCTTCCCGCGTTTTTCTTAAACTCTTTCCCACCCAATCTCAACCGATGTCATAATTAACATAGTTAGCTTTACTAATTTACAATGAAATTTGCACAACAATTCACAATTGCAGAGGGGAGTGATATAGATATGTACATATAGCAAGTGGAGCGGCGATCGAGCTTCAATCAAGTTTGCGCATGCGCAACGCTTTTCGAGTTTTCTTTGCCACTTATTGAAGATTTTCGCAATGGCAACAGGCAGGTTGCGAACTTTGCTAGGCTTCTGGCAAATTCTCGCCTATTTTGCAATAAAGCCAATACAAATGGCTAACAAAATGCAGTTGGAGAAGTCAATAAACCTTTTTAACCTGCATATCCACGGTAGCAGCTGCAGCAGCAGCAGCAGCAGCAACCACAACAATTACAACAAAGGCAGCCATGGAAAAAACAATAGCAAAATGCTGGGCAAAGAAATTTGAAAAATTTTCGCCGTTTGTTGTGGGCTAAAAATAATTAAAATGCAGCACGCCATGAAAAACTCACAATAACAAATTTTCCGCCTTTCAGCGGCAACAAAACAAATGCAATTTTTATCGCAATTGTTAACTGTGCGTATTTTCCTGTCACTCTGTCACCCGAACTTATTTATTTAAGACACGTACATATGTACGTAGTGACAAAAGTGCAGCACCAACAACAAACCTTCAGCGGACTGAACTCCCAACCCTCCAAGTACCGCCCCTTTGCCACCCAACTGGCCAAGTCGATGAACCTAAGTGCGAGTAGCCAGTAAAAGTCGATTCTTCGTTTTTCCCGCTGTTTTTTTGTTTTACCGGTGAAGCTGGCGGTGGGAAATATACGTAGTAATAGTAATAAACAAGACAAGCCCATCATTGTTGTTGCTGCCGCTGATAGTGTAAATATGCATAATGAAGCGCAAACAGCGAAGCCCCCATGCGAAATGGAAGTTATAAACTGAAAACAGGGAGCACAAGTTTTAGGTTGTTTGCGGGGCGTATACGTAATATTGGTTTTTCCTGAGAGGAAATCATTTGGTGTGAGCTTACGTTTTTATGACTCAAAGGATTTTACGAGGTGAAATTAAATTCAATACAAATCAAGATCAACATTTTAACACTTTTAATGATATTTTGCAGATAAAAACTAAACGTAAAAAAAATTCAAAATATTTTAAATTCCACTGACTTAACTTGTCATTCATAAAACTTGTTATCTTTTCTAATGGAGGAAATTAATGTTTGCTTCCGTTTTGTGAAGTTAATTCAGGGCTAGCTAGAGATATACCTTTATCACTTATTTGTTTTGATAAGACCCAAAAGCCATAATAAAAAATTGTGCTTTTTAAAGATAAGATTAACTATTGTCACAATTAAAATGTTTAAAACTTATCTTATCCAAGGAAGAGCCAATAAGACAGGCTAGAAAAAATCACACAATAAAGAACTTGAGTTAATATATAATTTATCGACTTTTTCAATTGCTAAATACAATAATATATAATTATCATAGACTAAAGTACACAATGTAAATATATTTTTGCATATATATTCTGATTCTTTAATATGTATATATACTATTTATTGGATTCGCTTCATCCCGTTGATAAGAACTATCGGTCGATAGGCGTATGGAGCTTAACTTTCCTTTATATATGCTCTCTGTTGTTAGCGTAGCAAAATATGATCATGTTTCAAGGATTATGCTATGTTTTAACTTGAACAATTACAAACTGAATCGCGTGTAAACATTCACAATAGTATTAGCGTAACTAGATCTAAGTATTATCGTTAGTTCTCTCGTTTTGCTTTGTTTCAATTTATCGTCAACGTTCGAGATGCTTATGCCTCTTGTTTAGCGCAACATTTCGCTTGCTTTGCTTTCGCTATCGATTTATCATTCGACATTTTGGCTTGACTCAGACAGATGGGGCGTGGTAAGTGGCTTAAACGGTAGCATAAAGATCGGATAACCCAGCACAGAACACAAACGGAGAAGCATCGCAAGGTGGGGGAAAATAAAAGCGGAGCCGAGTGTGTGCGCGTGTGAGGAAGGAAGCGAGTAGTAAATATTAGCAGGCTATTTCCGTGGTAACGCTCTTGATGCTCTCGGAGCTGAAGTGCACGCAACCGTACTTGCAGACCAGCGTCCACACATATGGAATGAAGAACTCCTCGGGAGCGTCCTCCTCGACGTACTTAAACTTAAGATCCGGGAACTTCTGCAGGGTAGATAAGTGATAAGTAAGAAATTTGTTAAATTTTAATAAAAAAATGGGAGTATGACTTACTCTTAGCCGATCGCTGGACCACTGACTAGCGCCCTTTGATATAACCTCAAGCACCTCGTTGACGCCCAGCTCACCTCGCTGCTCCTGCACGCGCTGCAGACGCGAGGAAAAGAAACCAACAACCTGGCAAAGAAAATAGTGTAAGTCATTCGAAACGCCATCGAATCCCCAAAACTCACCATGTCAATGTTCTGGATGACATCCTGGAAGGCGTGATGACTGCGGAAGCCCTCGAAGACGCTGCGCTTGTACAGAAGCGTGTAAACCAAGTTGGGACAGTAAACCAGCTGGTTTGTGAGGCAGGAGTTAAGGATTTCCAGTACCATGCGCAGCACCTCCTCCAGAACGCTCAAGTCCTGCAGCATGTCCTCCGGCGTCGTCGATACGTTGACAAACACCGCGCTGTCGGCCGGCTCCTTTAGTTGCGCATCCAGGCGCGTGTGCTTCCGGGCCAGCGTTTCGAACAGCGAGACCAGTCGCTGTGCCACGTACGGATGCAGGGCGCGGAAGTGGCCGGACATGTTGGCCAGTGCCGCCAGGCAATTGGTGTGCAAGTACTTGTCGCGCATCTTCAGCATGTTGTACTGTATGGTGCGGATGACGATCAGGATGAGGATGCCGCCGAGCGATATCTCCGATATGGTGCGCTCCGTATACCAGGTGATGTTCTTCAGCACCTGTGGGAATCGGTAAATGTTAATGTTGGGTACACATAAAGTGGGCACAGTTGACTCACTATGGTGTGCACGTTCTTGTTGAAGCCCTCGTCCTCACTCAAAATGAGCAGGACGATCAGCGACATGTAGATGTGGTGTGAGTTGCTATCCGGGGCATTGTACAGTGTCTGCAGGATGGGTATCACCAGCTGCTCCAGGTCCTGTTGCTGCATGACGAACCGGTAGAAGCGCTCGTTGCGATGGAGCAGCAGGTAGAGCAGCAGCGTAGCCTGGTCGATGGTGACGATGAGGCACAACGTCTCGTACACCGCCGAAAAGTCGATCTGGAAGGAGACAGCGCCCTGTTTCGGCGAGTCCTTGGAATCGGCGCAGCCAAAAAGGCTGGCCCGGTAAGCGTTCTCCTGCGCTGTGCAGTGGTTCGTCAGGATCAGGATGAGCAGCAGGCTCTGGTTGGCCAGTGGATAGTGCGTGCGGAATCGCTGCGAGAGCTCACCGCCGCCGGAGCCTTGACCCGACTTAAGCACATCCGGCTGTTTGCGGAACGTGAAGATAGAGAGCAGGGACTCTGCGATGCCAAAGACGAACGATCCGGCCGAGCTGGAGCCGAACATGGTGTGCGGCACCTCCACCATCCGCGCCACAAAGTGCAGCAGCGCCGACATCAGCACATTGGCGTGTTGGCACTTGAAGACCGTGCGGAACACGATCGACTTGTCCGTGGGCTGCTGGGCGAACAGGTGCACCGATAGCAGGGTAATCAGCATGTTCACCGCCTCCAGGTGCAGGTGGTAGGTGAACTCCTTGACGGGGATCACCACAATCAGGTTGACCAGCGCGTCAATGAAGGTCTCGAATTTGGATCCGTCAACAATCACCGGCAACGCAGTCGCTGCCGAATGCTCGGTGGCCTCCATGGCAATGGTGGCGCTCTCGGCCGGCGTCTCCAGCTGCTGGTCCAAGGCCGCCTGGAGCAACTCGGCACTGGGCATCGCCTCGAAGTGCTGCAGCAGCTGGAACTCGGAGCCCGTCTCGTTGATGTACTTGACCAGGGTGCGGATGATGAAGAGCGCGTTGAAGGTCTGCCAGACGTGCATGTTGCTCTCCTGGTCGGACAGCGATAGCAGTTCGCTGGTCTTCTCCAGGAACACCGTCACCAACGAGCCAAAATTGCCCGTTTTCAGGTTGTTGCCGATGAAGGACTGGCACAGCGCCTCCAGCCGGCTGTCCAGATTCAACTGGTCCTGGCTGAAAGACGGAAATCCCAATCCCGGATTAACCCTGCTGCTGACGTTGCCGCACCACTCCTCCACTCACCTGTTTTCCGGCAGCACAATGTTGTAGTTGAGCAGCCCGCTCCAGAAGGCCTCGTCATCGTGGGCGATGTGCTGGCGGCCCACGAAGCGCTGGAGCCACTGGTTGGACCCCAGGTCGGCCGTCCTGCTGACGTTGATGCCCATTCCGCAGTCCAAAAGAGTGCTGTTGGCCGGCCAATGATTATATTGGTGGCACGTCACTTGATCATTGGGCGGGGGGGGGGGGGGTGTGATGAATTTCCAGGGGCCGGTGTGACCCTCTCGCGGCGCTGCAGAAATCCACATCTACCTAGTGAGACCGTGCTGCCACACTCACTTATCGCCTATCGGCGCTAAAATTAAATTAACTTTGCAAAACAAATATTGCAAACAAGTAAAGCTGAGAAAGAAATATTTTATCAGTTTTATAGCACACATTTTGAGCAAGCCAAAAAATTAATAAATATAAATTGCTGAAAGCATACACAGAAAACTTTCCAAAAAAATTGTCAGGTGCATACATAAATTATTCATTAAAACAACAACCAAAACAATTTTGAGATCGTATTCGCCCATTTACCTCAAACAACTTTTGTATTTAAACAAATGAATTAAAATTTCCACTCCAAATAAATTCGACAAGTTTTCATAGGTAATTTATTTATTTTGTCCCTTAATTTGACTCGAACGAGCAGATATAGGAAAATAGCATAGACTGGTTATTTTATAATTCCAAGTGAAGGCTTGCTCTTAGGTTATTGCTTATTTAAAATGGCAAACAGAAATAAGAAATCATACGTTTCCAATTGAATGTAATGCATTTATTTGAATACGAAACTAAAACTAGTTTGTTTCTTGGATACTGATGCAACCTGCTCGGCGATCTGCTATCCAACGATGTCATTATGGTTTCTATCCCTTCTTATTTAGTCGTTTCTCTGGGTTTTAACTTGTAAATAAATATACGTATATGATAGACTTGTTTACACATAAAATATATAAAACTAAAAGGACAACAAAAAGGTCTAGGATAATTTTGGGATTTCCATAAATTTAGCAAATCTCTCTCTCTATCGTTCAGTTTGTTTGCTGATTGGCTACACTCGTACACGATTTATCACAAATTTATTCCTTTTAGTTGGCGCTGCATGGTGTGCATGTGTAAACAAGAAAATATATCTACATATATATGCGCATAGAACTGTATCGTCCATGGTTTCATTTAACGAGAATATGACAAAACAAGCCTCCATGTCCGAGTTCCGGTTGTGTCTGTGGTGAGTGGATGACTTAACTTAGGCAAATATACACGATGATGGCGGTTGATGAACTAATCAAATGTGTGACCTCAGGACATGGCGCTTTGGCTCCTCATTGCTCCTTCTGCCGCTGGTGTTTTGGCATTGCTTCAATCTTCGTTCTACTCCTTGGCTGGATCCCCTTCTTAGAGCTTGCGTAGGCCCTGGTGCTTCTGCTTCTTGGCCAGCAGCTGCTTGAGGCTGAACGAGGAGAGCGCGATCCCAAACAGCGCCAGCATGGTGGCCGAGCGGGTCACCACACGGTTGGGCGACGACGAGCTGGTGGTATAGCCATGGCTGCAGTGCGTCGTAGCCTGTGCAGACAACGGCGGCGCCTGCGGGAGATAAGATAGGAGAACCGATTTAGGTTTCTGGTATTTATAGCTAGCCAAACAAATAATAAACTTGGCCCAGTGCCCGACGGCCCCCGTCCGCTAAGGCAAATTGCGCAGCAAAAACATTTTACGCTGGCCGTTGGCAACCAGGTTCAAAAGCTCCGGCCACACGAAAGCGATTACCCCACACGTTCCCACGTTCATTGAACTGATTATAAAGGGTCGATGTAATGCCTGATTAGTTAGTCCGCCTCCTGCTGTCAGTTTCCTTGCGATAGGGCCCCGATGACGACTATCTACCTTATCAGTTTCATTTAGCTCTTGAAGTCTCAGCTTCAAACAGCTCTCCGCATGACGCACTTCCCGCGACCTCCTTTCCAAAGTTCGCCACTACTGATAGGTTTTCTTCTCTTCGACAGCGCTATCTTTTCGGGCCACTTGAACATGCTCTAGACGCGTGCCGCTTATTAATAATCCGCAACTTGCGTTGCCAAAATAAAAAAAAAAAAAAAGCGGAATTGTTTATAAATAAACGAACTTGAATTCTCGTCCGGTGAATGCGTGCATAATTTCATATGCAAATTTATTTCAAATACTTGAATAAGGTAAAATGCCATCTGATTATGGAGGAGGTGCCAAGCGCTTTGCATCCGCAGTGGTTTCCAACCGTTCTATCAAGTGCATCACCGCCTGGGTCCGAATGCCTCTGCCGGTGGTTTCTCTGGCCAGGCGCTTAGGGCGTCTTCCTCCTCCACGCAACGAAGGTTTTGAGCCCGTGGAATGGCGTTTGATGGCGTCCAGGAAGGGCACGGCGGGATTAAGCTCGGGAATACTGATAATGATGTTTACAGCCGGCGGTGTTTCCAGATGAATGGGAGGCTGCGTTTGCGGCTGAGTTGATGCTTTCTTCAGCGGAGTGCTGAAGGGGTCTCCCTTGGGTTTAGTCCTGGGTAGAGTCTTCAGACTTGCTGGAAGCAATGGTATTTCCAGTTTGCTCTGGAAATTGGGCACCTTGGAAATATTGAGGGGAGTCACTTCTTGCTTAACTTGGGAGCTTGGAATCTTGAGAACAGGCCCTTCTTCCTTAATGTTTATGCTTTTTGGAGTTTTAAACTTTTGCGGAGACTTTAATTTTGCAGGCAGGAGAGGTATTTCCTGTTTGGTTATCACAGCTTTTAGTGGTTCCTTATGTTCGGGTATGTTTTCCTCTAAGAAACTCAAGTCTGGTAGCTCCAGTTGTGGACCAGACGTCACTTCTGTAGGCTCCAGAGAGAGAAGATCCACCACTGAGCTGAGACTCATATTCGATTCAGGATGAGATTCAACTGAGTCCGTTTCTGTGCCAGGAGTCAGTTGCTGAAGTAATTGTAGTATAAATTCGTCGTCATCATCTGGAGGAGGATCGGCCAAGGCAACAGCGCAGGGTGGAGGAGGATCGGCCAATGGAACAGCGCACGGTGGAGGACGATCGGCCAACGGAGCTGCACCAGAAAAGGGAGGATTTTCCGCAACATCAGCAGCTGGCAGTGGATCACTACAAGGATCCCCAGCATTTAAGTCCAGCTCCTCATCCGAGGAGACCTCGTCGTTGTGTGGCCAAAGGCAATTCCGCGACTCGCACTTAAGCAGCTGCTCCTCAAGATTTATGTAGAAGAAGCGAAGCTTGTGATTCCTGCCCAAGCCCAGGCACTCCAGGCATGCGTCTCCCGGCTGCAGTTGCTCCATTTTGTGCGGCGATTGTGGGTGCGTGTTGGTGCTCGCCAGGCCGGAGAACTTAGTGGTTGCCCCCGAAATGCGCATGCTGCTTCCTGCTTTTGTGGTTTAATGTTCGAGTGCTCACCTGACCGAAGGTTAAACGGAAAGCGTACAGGCCGAGATTGGTTGTTTTCATGGTCCGTTCCAAATCCAGCAATTCGGGACCTGAAATCAACAACACGGTATCCGGTTATTCGAGCTTACATAACCCGAATTGATTTTTCACCCGAGTTTCTGTTTCTCTGCTCATTGTTTGCGAGCGACAGCAAAAAAAAGGCCTTTCTTATCACTTACGTTTCGGGTAGCAAGTGAAAACTGATCGGCGCTCTCTAAATATCCGGGCGGTTCAGCCGATTAAACCAGCAACGTTGCTACAATTTGGCGAGCAAATGAAAATCAAGAAAATAAAACGATCTAGAACGCATGTGAGCAGCAGAGCGAGAGCGAAAAGGATAGGAGACTAGAGCTGGGATTGTGAGTGGTGACGAAGCTATCGAATAGAGGCCATTAATGTAATCGATAGTAATCGAATATATTTGGTTCTCGCTCAGCTGTTAAAAGGCCTGACCTTCCAATTTTTGTTATTAATAAAATTTAAAATTCGTTGAATATATTTGATTTAAGTGATATATTGAATTTATTCAAAAACCCTAAAATTTTAAATATTATATTAAATCGAAATCGACTAAAATTTAAGCTAGATAACCGCTCCAAATTAAATTTATTTTCATAAGAACCTTTAATAATTTTTATTTTGAACTTCCAATAAATCTTTCATAAAAATAAAGTATCGAAAATTGGAACAGTTCTAGTGAAAGACCGAAAGGGACAAGAGACATGCTGCAGTGCGACCACCTCAAAAACATATGAAATTCTTTTGCTTGTCCGCCAGAGTTACCACACCAATTTAAAACTGTCAGACTTCATTTCTCTAATTTCTTAAATTTTCCCATTAGTTTAGGCCCTAGCAAGCTGCGAAAGAGCTTTCCTGAACTTAATAAAGAAAAGGCAAACATTTTATTTTAAATAATTTCAGTCAGCTGTTTCCCTCTCAAAAAAGAGCCGGTTTCCAACACTAGCTTTTCAGTCGGTGCATTGGTTTTCATTTCATAATTCGCCAAGCGGAATAAATTAAATAATTACACGAAATGGAGCTATCCGAGGGAGTCAAGGAGCGACTGGGTGTTGTTGTGGATGCCGTGCAGACTGGATTTCATTGGGGTTTCGTTCCTCTTGTCCTGTATTTGGGTGAGTTTGTGTCATGTTTTTTGCCCTTCCACACGCGGCTGGGAAGAAGAAGCAGTTAGGGAATTCTTTTAGCAAACATTGATTTAATTCGAATTTTATTTTCGCAGGCTTCATGAAGGGAGCCGAGCCCGGAATGCCGCCCCTAAACGTTTTCAGCTTGTTGTGGCAATAAAAACTACCAACCGACAAAGACGTGGCCTGCCTGCATTTTGGTTCTGATTGGATTTCTTGGCACATGTGCAGTACCTGCAGTTATTGGAAATAAATTTCTGTTACTAAAAATCCAAATCGTGCCATGTATTTAAAGATAAAATAACTATCCATATAAAAACAACTAGTAAAAGCTTATTTTGAGAATAGCTCACAACTGCTTCGCTAGTACGTTTTTTCTAATGGCTTTAAAAGTTAGTTTTTGCATCGTCGTTTTCTGAAGATAACAGTTATCCTTTTAATGTCGGAAAAGCTTCAGGGATTTATGGTTAGTACTTACTAATTTGTTTAAATTTAGTGGTATACTAGACCACAATTTTTAAAGTAAAAATAATTGATATCGAAACACCGATAGAAAACATTTTCTGGCAGTATCGATAGTATCGAATAAACACCAATTAAAGTTCCAGCTCTAATTCACACACACAGCACCGCGGTTTTTTCGCTGCACAAAATTGTATTTTTAACGCAAAATAGCAGCAATTAATAATATCAAACGGTTGGACTATCCATCTAAAAGTGCCGACTATCTCGCGTAATAGGAAGTTTCTCAATTTCCAAGCTGCGCTGCCCCTGATCACGTGATGAAAATCCGCCTGAAAAGTCGCCTTCTTCCGTGAAATGTGAAGCAGTTTTTTCAACCAAATTGGGCGGAGTGTGGAGTTCGAGTGTGTAGTGCGAATTTCGTTGCTCGTTGCTCGTTAAGCAAACTATATATATTTCTATATCCTCGACAATGCCCCCGCAAAATGTGAACCTCCGCGGGTGCGGGTCCTACGCGATAAATGCGCAATTCGGGGCCAATTAGTGGCTGTCTGCGGTGTCCTTTGGCCGCGCCTCCCGCGACTCCTTCCACAAAAACAAAAACAACCTCATTTGCAGGCCACAGACTTTGAACTTGCGACGCGCGTGTGCGTGCGATCGTGGAAAACAAAAGAAAAGCCCCCAGGCAGCAAACAATAACATTAGCTCCCAGTCGCACACTATCGATGCGAATACAAAACATGTTATCTGCGCCCCAGCTAATCTTCCTGGGCGCTCTGCTCGGCGCCTCCGTTTGCGGTGAGTTCTCCCAGGGGCTCGGTTGGCTCGGGTCAGGTGCGAAACTAACCTAAAATCTCCCCTCCCCGTGCAGCCTCACCCGTTGAGTTCGTGATGGACACCAGTCCGAATGGCTCCCGATCTGATCCTGCCGTCCGCTCTGGTAAATGGCCGACTACGACCAGGGCGCCGCCGAATGGAACAGCTGGCGAGGCTTATCAATTGCAATCGCCGTCTCTGTCCGCTGATAAGGGGAGCAGCGACAACAACAGCAACAACAACAACAACGGCAGCGCCGTGGCCATGCTTTTGCCGCAAGACGGCGACGGATCCAGAGCAGTTGCCCCGGCCGCAGCCCCTCAGCTGCCAACATACGTTGCTGCAGTGCCCAGCACCAAGAAGCCAGAAAGTAAGTCCCGGAACGCTCCATAAATGAAGAGCACACTGAGAGAATTGGTTAGAGTAACAAAAAGTTGAAGTTATTTGTACAACAGTTGTAGGAAATTCAATCGCTAGATACTGCCACAGTTCTGTTTAAGCTATAGATTTTTATGAAAGTTTATATCTTATAAACAAACAAGTTAATAGACATAAACACTGTTCCGGTTTCCAATTTCTAATGAAAAACTCGAATTCTATTGTCAGTAAATAGTTATACTTTTTTTTTATTTACTTTGTGACATGAGATATGTTAAAGTTGATGAAAACTTTCAAATGATGTTATAACCACGTTCAAATGTCAGAACTCGGACCTTATTAAATTTTAACAAACTTCCCGAAAGTGAAAAGCGAAACAGTATGTTTGGCATCTTTAATTTGGTGTGCTTGTATTTTTTAAAAAGGCTTTTTAAAGGCTCAGTTTGTTTGATAATACCTTATATGAAGTTAGTGTTCTTGATAATGTTCATTTTTTAAGTCTCAAATTTAAGAATATGCGGTTTATTGTAAGCCATTAATTAGGCATGTAGTGTTACAAGTTGTAACTTACAACACAATTTAAGTCAATAACTAAAACTATTTGAAACCGAAGAGGAAACAGTTGTTAAATTCTTAACTACAGTATATTTGTTTTAACTATATATTTTGTGTTCTTAGTTTTGGAGTTTATATTTTTATACCCTTGCAGAGGGTATTATAATTTCAGTCAGAAGTTTGCAACGCAGTGAAGGAGACGTTTCCGACCCTATAAAGTATATATATTCTTGATCAGCATCACTAGTAGAGTCGATCTAGCCATGTCCGTCTGTCCGTCCGTCTGTCCGTCCGTTTATATGCAAACTAGTCTCTCAGTTTTAAAGCTATCTGCATGAAACTTTCCCAAAAGTTGTCTTTCTATTGCAGGTAGTATATAAGTCGGAACGATCCGGATCGGACGACTATAGCATATAGCTCCCATAGGAACAATCGGTAAAATAATTGAAAAAAAATTATAACTTTGCTGTTTTTTAATTTTTTGTTTAGTTCTTCGACATATAGCAATGGTTAAATAATTCAGAATTATGGTTTAAATTTCATCAAAATTGGACGACTATAGCATATAGCTCCCATAGGAACAATCGGAAAAATAATTGAAAAAAAATTATAACTTTGCTGTTTTTTAATTTTTTGTTTAGTTCTTCGACATATAGCAATGGTTAAATATTTCAGAATTATGGTTAAAATTTCATCAAAATCGGACGACTATAGCATATAGCTCCCATAGGAACAATCGGAAAAATAATTGAAAAAAATTATAACTTTGCTGTTTTTTAATTTTTTGTTTAGTTCTTCGACATATAGCAATGGTTAAATATTTCAGAATTATGGTTAAAATTTCATCAAAATCGGACGACTATAGCATATATCTCCCATACAAATAATAAAAATATATAAAAGAACAATCAAATAATTAAGCTGCAAATGTTTTTAAACATATACGCAAGTAAATCATAATTTTAATGTTTTTAAAAATATTTAATTCTTGCGATAGCTGCAAGGGTATATGAACTTCGGCTTGCCGAAGTTTGCTTTCTTTCTTGTTAAATTTTAAAATCATACTTTTAGATTAGATTCAAATAGACTCTAACATTCAATGTTAAAGATAAATTTGGAATCGGTTTTATGGATAGATTTCTGGTATATTTTTCGAGTGTATATCGCGTGACTGTAACACCTCAAAGACTCTGAATGCATTCCTAAAAGGCCTCTTCTTCGACTAGCTTCTTCGCCTGTGGCTCCGAATCCGTCTCATATTGTGACGTCAGCACGGTGTGGTGTCAATGAGCTGAGCCAGACAGCTCTCATGGCCCACTCCAACGCTGCCTGGCAGCAGACACCCCCACGTCTGGATGCATTTGCTCGTTGCACTCGGGCACTTGCAACTGCAGTCGGCACAAAAAAAAAAAAAAAAAAAAAGACTCAGGCCTAAACACTGGATTCTCGCAGTCGGGGGAAGGAAAACTGGTCGCATTGTCTGGCCCTCCACTTTGCACTTGTCTTCTCCGCGTCTGCTTTGTTAATGCTAAATGCATTTGTTTTTGTTTCATCACGCTCTCGGCGGAGTCGGTGAACGTGGATGTCTGTCTGGGCGAGCATGTGCCCGAACAGGTGCCCCGGGGGCTTGATTATGGCAAATCCCAACTTGTGGTCAGTGCCGAAGGAGATGCCAAACAGCGATCGGTTTATTAATGGATTGCTTCGTTCTCTAATTAGTTAATTTCTGACAGCACCTTTAATTGATTGATTTGATTCAATCGGAGTCTGTGCGTTTTCTCAATCCAAGGAGTTGGAAATTGGAAAATAGAGCTTGATAAGAATAGTTCAAATAATAAATCCTATTAATAGTCTATCAAAAGTACTGGCTATTTATAAAGCTACCAGGGGAGAAGCTGTGCTGCATTTTTTTTAAGAAAGATTGACCAGCGAGTGTCATTGATTCCATAATATTTTTGGACTCTATTATATACTTTTTTGTTATTTGTTCTTAGCATTTCATTTTTAAGGAATGGCTTATTTTTTTTAATTTTCAGTATTAACAGCTCTGCTTTACGTGCTTATTGAGTTATTATAAATGACATTCTGCTTACTTGGCTTAATTTTTTAATTAAGATATGCTGATTTGCCAATATAAACTGCATTAGTTTGTAAACACACCTGTGTTTTATCAGCAATAACAATTTGTTTTATTTCGTTACTTTGAATGTCTCAAAGAATTGTACCTACAAGTTTATTTAATCAAGGCATCTACAATTAAGACTTTTCTTTGATTTTAAAGTTTGCTTAATGATCTGATCTAACAGTTCCTTATTATTTTTTAACTTATAGAAAAGATCAAGTGCCATTGCGACACCTGCAAGGATGCAAACCACATTTGCGAGACGGATGGCTTTTGCTTTACTTCCGTGGAGAAGAACTCCGATGACACCATCACCTTCAGCTACAGGTGAGTCCCGTGGGCCGGGGGACAGGCCGTGGAGTAGGTTAGCACTTGCCTCTCAGAGCCCAGTCAGTGGATATATGTATTTGATCTGTGTGATCTGCGGTGCAGATGCCTGAACATGTCGCAGAGTTTTCCGCCAGGCCGTTTTATCTGGTGCAACGATGGATTGCACGGCGGACCCACGGCCCGTCCGGTTGGTCGAAGAGGAGCCCACGCCTGCTGCAACGACGGCGACTTCTGCAATCTGTTTCTGAGGCCCAAGGCGAGGGACCAGCCGTCTAATCCTTTGGAGGGTCAGCGGGGGTCGTCGGTCGCCGTCGAAGGTGCGTGCGTTCTGCACGTGCTTAGCTCCTAATCCTTTCCTTTCTGACTGCTCCCCCTTTTCCTGTTTTCTCGCACGCCGTTCAACAACAAGTTGCCCCGTTTTGACCGTTCTTTGGACTGTTTTCCCACACTTATGCTCGTTAAGTTGCAGTTTTTTGAATTACCCATAACCCGAAATGCTGAGCGCTACTAATGATGACCTTCTGAAAGACCAGTGCGGCATTTTACACATTGTTTTAAATATTATTATAATACTCTTACTGCTACTAACCAGACTGAAATTTCAATT